AAAGACTGCGGGTTCATCAGCGCTGACCGCAAAAAATGTTGCTGCCTTTGCGTGGCAGGCGCAATAGACACAGCAAGTGAACGCTACAAGCATTTGTAAGGATTTGTTTCTTCAGGACAAGCCCCACTGCAATTGCAGTTTTTATTTTTGTCACACTTTTCAAACACACGCCCGTCTTCATTTTTTCGGTCAACCTCAACTGCATCAATGTAAACCAATCTGACCTCGAATGCATCACGACAATCAAAAGCGACTCCCACAAATCAATTCAACCCCCCCTCATCAATTTCCATCACAATTTTTCGTTTTGGACGTTTGTCGTTTCGGGCTATTTCTGGCAACAGCAATGGATGGATAATTTTAATCTTTGGCTTGCTACACAGGAGAATTCTGCTTGCTGCGCGTGGCATTGTTCACTTGCACCTGATATCGTGGGGGGTGCCGCCCCCTCCAACCCCTCCGCCGATTTTTTCAAACGGCGGTCTGGAACGCCTCTCTGTTTCAAACAGTTTTTGAAGAGCACATGCGGATGCTTCTTGCACAGTGGTCTTTCCATGGCAGCCAAAGGTCCGTGGATATTTTTGTTTTGTTTTTCCCGGAAGCTTTGCGAAGGGTTCTTCTTCTAAAAGCGGCTGCCAACTTCACCTGCCAACTTCTCATGCCAACTTGTCGAGAGTTACTTCACCTGCCAACTTCTCATGCCAACTTGTCGAGAGTTACTTCACCTGCCAACTTCTCATGCCAACTTGTCGAGAGTTACTTCACCTGCCTACTTCTCATGTCAACTTTTTGAGAGTTACTTCACCTGCCAACTTCTCATGTCAACTTTTCGGCTGTTATCTCATTCTACTAAAAGCACAAGCTAATTTGTCGGGTGTTACTTCACTATCCTAAAAACACAAGCTAACTTTTCTGTTCTACCTTCACATCTCGACTCTTAATTCTTCTTCTTTTTATGGCGGGGGTAGGCCCGACGGGAGCTTACGAAACGCACCCCTCTGCGGAGATCGTGCGTGTCGAAGCGCTCTCGCTGTGGCGCCGTGCGAATTTGTCTTGACCTTGGCGAACCCTCTGCGGAGATCGTGCGTGTCGAAGCGCTCTCGCTGTGGCGCCGTGCGAATTTGTCTTGAGCGCGGCGAACCCTCTGCGGAGATCGTGCGTGTCGAAGCGCTCTCGCTGTGGCGCCGTGCGAATTTGTCTTGACCTTGGCGAACCCTCTGCGGAGATCGTGCGTGTCGAAGCGCTCTCGCTGTGGCGCCGTGCGAATTTGTCTTGACCTTGGCGAACCCTCTGCGGAGATCGTGCGTGTCGAAGCGCTCTCGCTGTGGCGCCGTGCGAATTTGTCTTGACCTTGGCGAACCCTCTGCGGAGATCGTGCGTGTCGAAGCGCTCTCGCTGTGGCGCCGTGCGAATTTGTCTTGACCTTGGCGAACCCTCTGCGGAGATCCTGCGTGTCGAAGCGCTCTCGCTGTGGCGCCGTGCGAATTTGTCTTGAGCCCGATGAACTGTCGAGCTTGCTGAACCCTCTGCGGAGATCGTGCGTGTCGAAGCGCTCTCGCTGTGGCGCCGTGCGATTTTCTTGCTCGCGAAACGGCTTTTGGAAGTTGTCTCGTGGTGTGCGCGCCTGCTTTCGCAATCCCGCGGTCCCGGGTTCGATTCCCCCCTGGTCCGCGGCAGCTCCGGCTTGAAAATCGCAGCTTTTAAGTACAAACGTAGTACGCGGAGCGTGCTCCTGCAGCTCCGGCTGGAAAATCGCAACTTTTAAGTACAGACGTAGTACGCGGAGGCTGCTGCAGCTCCGGCTGGAAAATCGCACTTTTTAAGTACAGACGTAGTACGCGGAGCGTGCTCCCGCAGCTCCGGCTGGAAAATCGCAACTTTTAGATACAAATGGCTGGAAAATCGCAACTGTAAATTGCAAATGTAGCACGCGGAGCGCCTCCGCCGCTCCAGCTTTTTGAGGGTTAATTACTTCACCTGCCAGTTTCTCATGCCGAAACTTCGAGAATTACTTCACCTGCCAGCTTCTCATGCCACCTTTTCGAGAGTTACTTCACCTGCCAACTTCTCGTGCCAACTTTTCGAGGAGTTACTTCACCTGCGAGCTTATCATGCCAACTTTTCGAGAGTTACTACACCTGCGAGCTTCTCATGCCAACTTTTCGAGAATTACTTTACCTGCCAACTTCTCATGCCAACTTTTCGAGAAATACTTTACCTGCCAACCTCTCGTGGCAACTTCACCTGCCAACTTTTCGAGAATTACTTCACCTGCCAACTTCTCATGCCAACTTTTCGAGAAATACTTTATCTGCCAACCTCTCGTGGCAACTTTTCGCAAAATTACTTCACCTGCCAGCTTCTCATGCCAACTTTTCGAGAGGTACTTCACCTGCCAACATCGCCTGCCAACTTTTCGAGAGTTACTTCGCCTGCCAACTTCTCGCGCCAACTTTTCGAGAATTACTTCGCCTGCCAACTTCTCATGCTAACTTTTCGAAAGTTACTTCACCTGCCGGCTTCTCACGCCAACTTTTCGAGAGTTACTTCACGCGCCATCTTCTCGTGCCAACTTTTCGAGAATTACTTCACCTGCCAGCTTCTCACGCCAACTTTTCGAGAGTTACTTCACCTGCCAACTTCTCATGCCAACTCTTTGAGAGTTATTTCACCTGCCAACTTCTCATGCCAACTTTTCTCTTGAGTTACTTCGCCTGCCAACTTCTCATGTCAACTTTGCGAGAATTACTTCACCCGCCAACTTTGCCAGCCAACTATTCGAGAGTTACTTAACCTGCCAGCTTCTCATGCCAACTTTTTGAGAATTGCTTCGCCTGCCAACTCCTCATGCTAACTTTGCGAGAGTTACCTCACCTGCATCAACTTGCCTCTATGCTTCCGGGCCACTCGTCGTCTAGTTTTGTTTTGTGTTTGTGCGTGGACCCTCCTTTTGACCTTTTGTGGTCCTTTGTAGGGACGCAGGTTACGGGCGGCGTGCGCAGTTTATGCTTGCTTTTCAAGAAACGCGACAGAACTGTCCGAATGCGGAAGTCCGTCCAATGCAAAGCCAAGGATAGTCCGCGTTCGCATGATGTTCGAAGGAGTTATGATTGAAGAACGTGCCTGAGTGTTGGCCATTCTAAAAACCAGTGGGGGTTGGGGGGGGGGAACAGCCTCTTCCGGGGCACTTTGCATTTTTTCCTGAGAATGCTTGGCGTCTTACTGTTTCCTGACAACGTAACAAAGGTTAGGTTTTCGAGGGCTCTGAACAGATGGTTTTTGCCTTCGCAACTAATTTTTTGGCAGAGAGGGGGGGTTTAAGACAAGTTTGCTGCATGGTTTCAGGGCTAAGGGAGGTTTTTGTGGGATGTGAAGTCGGTGGCCTTCACGGAGGGCGTACAAGGGGGTTTTGAGAGTTAAGGGCAAGGCGTGACACGGGGGGGGTTCTTAAAGCAGGGGGTGGGCTTGGCTCAAGGGGGGCTTAGGGGGGGGCTCACGGGGGGGCTTAAGGGGAGTGTTTTTTAAAGGAGGGCTTAAGGGGGGCTGGGAAGGGGGAAAGAGGGGGACCTTTGCGGTACGGCAGCTCCGTTTTGCAAGAAAGCAACACAGGTTGCAATGTGTGCGAGTTAAAACGGAAACAATGTTTAATGCCCTAAGCATTTTTTTTTACATACGGCGTCTGCCGTCTGCAGCAGCTGAACTGCAAAGGGATTAATCATCATTAATCTCCCACTTCTTGTTCTGCCTCGTTTGAAGTTTCTTGCTCTTTTGAACACGACGTTAGGGTTTGAGTTTGCGGTTTAGAGTTTGCGTTGAGGGTCGAGGTTGCCCCTCTGCAGGCTAGCTGCTAGTGCACTTAGAAGTTTTTAAAAGTATTTGGCCAGCTTTGTCCGGCTGGCCGTAAAAGTCGGGCAAAGTCTAAGGAAGCGTGGCAGGAGGAAGAACCCGCTGCACAAATCTTTTAAGTGTTACTTAGAGAAGTGAGTAAAGTATTCTTCGATACACATTCCCGGTTCACGGAGGTCGGTGGCAGCCGTTGTTTTCGCAGCAGAATTGGCATGGCAGAACAAAGCATTTTCGCAAGACCAGTCCAACTCCACTGCCACCTTGTTAGACGCAAGGTGCACATGTTGCATCTTTCACTCGGATTGAAGGCAGCCAAGTCTCACCCAACCATTTTTCTGCAAGAGGGAAGGATGAAGTGGACTTAGAGTTTTGCACCTCAACAATGCAGAGTTTGCAGACACAGACACGCTATGAAGCGGAGGTGGCAAAAAACAATCAAGATGAACACAATGTAAGGTGAATGTTCGCGTCAATACGGTGCGAATGCAAAGCGTGTTACTTGGAAACATATTTTGTTTCTGAGATGCGCAGTTCCGGAGCAAACATAATTGGATTAAACAAATTGGGCGGTTTGGCTTTTGTTGCTTAGGGCATCCCTGGATCTTGTGGCAGGGGGGCCGTTTGCAGTGGAGCTCCTGTGGGGTCCCAAATATGTCCTCACTGCCTACTGACAGGGAATCAGCATGGAAGGGGTGGGGGGAGGCAGAATCCAAATTTAGTTCCATTGCTTGCCACTAGCAGACGTATCTTTGGAAGCGGAATTGTCCTGATTGACCTGTTGCATCAACATATGCCACACGTCGAGACAACCTCGCTGGATTCGGGGCAGTGTTGGCCGAGTGAGAAGCGGTGTTCACCATTGTAGAGACATGCTGCTCCGAGGGTGGAAACAGAAGGTTAGTGACAACTTGTTTTCTTTCGGCATTTGGTCTAGATTGGTGCTAAATAAGTTGTTGATATCGGAAAATGCTGTTGTTTTCGTGGTTGACATATTAAAAGGCTTTGCGGTGTGGGCCAACACAGCAAGAAATCTTATTTTGTTTCTTTCAAGGATGGTTGGCTCAATATTAGGCCTCAGGACTGTAAATATGCAGTTTCAACCTGAAAAATACAGCCTTCGGGAAGCTTTGCACGCGCACCGCATTTTTTGGTCCAGAAGTACAGCTTGGTAGGGCGAGCGTGCCGCTGCCAAGATGGGTTACGGCGGGCGCGGGTGCAGCCGGCATCATTTGATCGCTGCTTTCCGCACCCTTCGCTTTCCATTTGAGGTTTTCCAACAAGGACCCCTTTTTGGGTGCAAGGAAAAGCCCACTACTGGGAAGGTAGGACACACCCATGTTTCCGACGAGTTGTTCTGTGGTCCACCTTTACACGCATGTTGTCTGCTCTGTTGAGTTGAATGCTGTTTGGGTGATTCTTGAATGGAATTCCATCGACCATGCTGGTGGAGCAATTGGAACCAGGTGTCAGTACATCTTAGGATCACTAAATATAAAACCTGTGCACAGGAGCTATTTGCTCCTGGGTGTAGTCACTGCAGTTTTTCTCGTCTTTGTTGCATGTTTTGGGTTGGTTCTCCGTCTGATCTAGGCTGGGACACCCGCCTCCAGGCTTTCACTGGATCCTGCCAGGAAATCCAAAGGACGAGGCTACCGGGTACGAGAAGTGGATTGGGGCTGGTGCCTCAGCACCTTCATGACGGTGTCCGTTGAAAAGCGTACCCAAGAGTGTCCCTGGTCGCTGAATTCATCGCTCCGAATGTGTGGAGAATCCAGACTCTCTGCCGAAAGACCAACTCTCAACTCTCCTGCCTCTGTCAAGCTAGTTCCCGCGCCATGCCGAGTCTCCAATTCCCCGACTTGAGGAAAGTCATGGTCCAACGGTCGCAAAGGCAAGGGCAAGGGCAAGGCGCGGTCCACAGGTTGCTGTTGCTAGTGTTGAGGCCAGTTTTTCTATATTTGAACAGCTTGGGGCTGACAAGAGAAGGTGTCGAGAGGGAGTCGCTACCATGTTTTGTATGACTGTTTGCTGGTCGCGGCTGGCACGCCGATTTCTAGTCCAATTGAAAACGGTTGCTTCAGGGACTCGCAGATCCACGCATGCTCGACCAATGCTGTACCATCTTGTTTGTTCAAGTACTCCCTGCGTACTCTGTGCAGCTCGAAGAAGAAGCGTACCAAAGAACGTGCCCATGTGCGGGATACCTGCAGCTTCCATGTTGCAGCTATGCAAAAAAGCAATGCGTGGGAAAACGAACGGGTCACCAACCCCGAGATATGGGTTGCATGTTGCTTTTCCAAAACGGTTGCAGGTCCCGTTGTTTGTTGTATATTGGTGGAGTTGGCGCCAAAGGTGTTTCGCCAGTGGCTTCCTGCCATCCATCCCCTCCAGTTGCTGCAGGCCCCTGGAAGGGACTTAGCCAAGCAACAGCGCCATGTGACAAGGTCCTGAAATTTAACACCAGAGTAATATCATCCTCTAAGCGGCCCATGCGGACGCCGCTCTTGCAGTCCTACAATCAGTCCTACCGTGGTGTGTGGCGCACCGTCAGCAAGCCAAAGGCGCGATAGTCGGGAGAGGCAGACGGCAAGCTCGGAGAGCTCACTCCGATTTGGTCTGATTAATGCATGTTTTCTTCGCCTATTGTGTACATGATGCATCTTTGAGCTTCATTGCGACGTCTGTGGTTGGAGGGGCCGTAACCCAAAACTGGTTTGCGGAGGTCTGGTGATTTTCGACAGATTAGAATGCCACCATCTGTTTGTCCGAACTGGCATGTTGTTTTCCCCCGCACGTGATCAGGGCGGCCGCAAGGGCTACGGTCGTGGCAAAGGCCGTGGTAGAGGCGGAAGCAGCTACGGCTATGGCAGGGGGAACTACCGCACGGGGTGGAGCCGGGCAGCCTAGTGTGGCCAATGGAGCAGGGTCTGGCATGAAGGATGGGCATTGGGATGGGGGCTGTTGTCCTTGCCTTTGTCTCCCCCTGCTGTCTCTGTCGCTGTTTGCGTCTCCTGGCATCTCCGTCTCCGTGTCTGTCCGTAATTGTCTCTCCATCGAATCTGGGCCTCTGCCGGTGTCTGTGTCTCTGTGTTTGTGTGTGCGTGCTAGCGCTCGCGTCTCTGTTCTCTTATATATATATATATACATCTCTCTCTCTCTCTCTCTCTCTCTCTCTTTCTTTTTCTCTCTTTTTCTCTCTTTCTCTCGCCTTCTGCCCCTCTCCCTGCGTGTGTGTATGCATGTGTGTTTGTGTGTGGTGCGTATGTTTGCCTGCCTGCGTGCGTGCTTGCGGGCGGGCTGGCGTCCGTACATACTTATGTGTACATATATATATATATATATATACACACACACACACACCTGTGTCTGTGTCTGTGTCTGTGTCCGTGTCCGTGTCCGTGTCTGTGTCTGTGTCTGTGTCTGTGTCTGTGTCTGTGTCTGTGTCTGTGTCTGTGTCTGTGTGCGCACCTGCAAGTATCCTGTGGTGTTTGGGAGCACATTCCAAAACATAGATTAGCAACAATATGCAATGCAATGAAGTGAACATGTGGCAATCATATGTTTACTGAGATTTCCAGGCGGTAATCATAGCAGTTCATTTTTTCTTGCCCAATGTCCTGATTGAGACACCAATCTCTGAGGCTATGGCAGGGGAAGCTGGGGCAAAGGCAAAGGCCCTCCCGGCACGTTTGCGTTTTTGCCCTTTAAACGGTTTTTCGGATGTCGTGAAGATTCAGAAGGGATGCACAAGAACTCCAGGCATCATTTCTTCTGTGGCTGGCTTCGCACACGCCTAACCGAGACCTGATATGAGGTGAAAGGGGGATCGGTTGACACGGGACCAATCCACCGACAGTGAGGAACAAGGCAATGTGTACGCAAAATGCAAAGGCCGAATCAGCTCCGAGCAGCGCAAGCTGCCACGAACTGACCCTGACAGGAAGTACAGCCGCAAAGGGGAAAAGGAGAGGCGCACTGAAAAAGAAACCGTTGGGACAATCCAGTGAAAGCACTCGCGTGTATACAAAAGCTTACCGCCCTAGGCGCCACTCTGAGGCAACAAAAGGAAGGCTGAACTTCCCAGAGCCCACGCAAGAGACTGATCACATGAGTTTCGCCTAGGCTGAGCTCTATGTTGAAGAGCAGACAGCCGACTTGGCACCAAGTCGCCAGCAAGCTACCAAAGCCACCAAGCCACCAAGCCACCAAGGCACCAAGCCACCAAGCCACCAAGCCACAACGGTGCTATGGCATCGTGTTTTCTTGATGCTTTGCGATCTGCTTTTCATCGTACGACGTAAGCAAGCAGTTGCCACCGTAATTTGAGCACAAGCGTCCATCAGCCACGAAGCCATGCCGCCACGCCACAGATGAAGCCACCAAACCACCTGTCGAAGCTAGCTGCAACTGCAGCGTTTTCAGGCCGAGGAAAAGGCAGGGTGCCCAGAGTGTATTAGGCTGCCCACGTTCTTTCAAGAGGCTGACCAGGCCTTTGGGGACTTTGTATCTCACTTCTCTGAATCTCCGGCGCGAACGCGGCGAGGTGGTTGGTCGGCGAACATTTTGGACAGTCTGGCAGAAGCTTTTCCCCGGAGAAAAGAAGTAAGGGTTAGCACAGGATGCACAAGGCTTATCTTGTCTGGGGCTTTTGTAACGCGATGCATGAACTGTACAGCGCATGGAGACCTCTCAAACAGAAGCGGCAACCTCCAAGTCTTTCGGGCATTTGCATTTCCTGGCCCAGTGTTGCTGTTTACAGTATTCTTGGGCTGCTGACGCTGTGCGATTCCGTTCCAAGAAAGCTTGCGATGAACACGTAGCCAGGAATGGTGTTGTGCTAGATGCACACGCAAGCTGAAGTCAGCTCCGGTTTAAAGTTTAAACTGGGGACCTGATTCGGAGCTGGCAGGGATGGCGAAGGGCTCTGATTCTGAGGCCGTGGAAAGGGCAAGGGCAAGGGCAAGGGCAAGAGGCAGCAGGCGCGGCTTTGGGTGGTCCAATGCAGCTGATTCAAATGGCACAGGACTTTTGTGGCTAACACCACCAAGTTGAGCCTGTTGAGTGTTGAAGCATAAATCAGAGATCTGTGGGCTATGATTCTGTAGTCTTCGACGTGTGACGCTTTTTGTGAGGTGACGAAGGAGATGCTGGACAAGCAGCTGGAGGAGTACATGGGCCCTGATGCCATGAAGGCAGGGGCCACAAGCCTGCTGTGACAAAGTGGATCAAGTTTCTTATTGGCCGTGGGCTGACGAGATTCAGATTGTTTGGAGCCGGTCTCAACTAGGTGTTTTTTTCGGTCCTTGCATCTTTTGGCAGGGTTGAATCGGCAGGCCATGCTCGATCTGGAGCTAGAGGCCTACTTCAAGGCGGGAATGAGGCCAGTTACTTTCGTCCAGTTTTATGGGAGTTTTGAAAGTTTATGTTTAACCCGCTTGCAAAGACGTTTTCAATCTTGCCTATGCGAACCAGGTGGCCTTCGACCCGACTAATGATGCGCACTATCAACTAAGAAAGCAATGGGCCACACAGAGGGCAGATCCTTCAAATTCCTTGGGGACAAGCGCCAAGGCCGCGGTCCTCTCGTGGTATTGCCAAGTTAACTCGCTTTGACCGAAGCGTGTTCCATAGGCTGATTGTAGGCAAACCCACTTTCAAAATACCTCAAAGTGTCAGTTTGTAAACTTCCTGTGTAGGGTAAGTCATTGCAATGCTTCGCATTGCATGCTATCTACCCTTTGGCTCGATGGGCGCTAGTGTTATTTGGGAAGGACTGATGCAGACAAAGCCATTATCTCAGCTTGAGAAATAGGTGATTGGTGGTAAATTGCAGAGAGAGAGAGAGCGAGAGAGCGAGAGAGGGAGAGCGAGAGAGTGAGAGAAAGAGTGAGAAAGCGAGAGAGAGCTCCGCGTGTGAGCAGTACTTTGCTGGAAGAAGATGTGGTTATGCGTGTGAAAGTACTTGAGCTGTCATGGTAAGCTTCTCAGCTTGCGAAAGGAGGTTTTTTTACTTGAGTTCGAATGTTATTGAAATCCATGCTGTTGGTCTCAGCTTGTGATCACTGCGGTGTTTCAAGTTGTTAAGAGCAGCATCCCTAACATGATAAATGCCCAATTGACCAACTGCTCTTCCTTGAGACATGCTCAATGCTGTTGGTTGGATATGAGGTCTAACCTTTCATTTATGACATGCCCACAGGCTGTATTCAATCACTTCTTGCTGGTATGCTGCAGCCACTAAAGAAGAAGCATTGAGCAGCATGTGCGAGCTGTGGCTACTTCAGCGGTCTCAGAGAATGCGAGCAATGTTGTGCTTGGAGAATGCAGTACGCATAGAATGAGCACTTGCTTTTCTGCAGAAAGGCCATCGATCCAACTGTCGGGCTGCCACTGGTGACTGCGCCAGCCAGGACAAAGAAGCCTTAGATGCCAAGGTCGAAAAAGTGCGGCAGCCCAGGATGGCTGCGCCCAGTGGGACTCCTGCTTTCATCACTCCGGCTATGCAAGCAGCTTCGTGTTCCTTTCACTTTCAAGGGCACACACACATGCCAAAGAACTCGCAGATCACAGGTTTGATGAGTTCAAAGTTAAAAGGCATCGTGTGTTTGCAACTCGTTGGACGTAAGCTGGTCAATCGGCCGCATGAAGGTTTCTTGGCAAATTCTTGTTGCCCGGTTTCTTGGTTTCGGACCCAAGAATCCCAACCTCTTGAGGATTGCTCATGAGGCGACTTGGCACTTCCTGGATGTTATGCCCATCTCAGATATTGTGCTGGATTGAAATCTAAGGCTGAAAAGCCCTGAGCGCGCGTCCAGGGGAGCCGCCGCACGACTTGCAGGGAACAACCTTGAACATGTCAATGGGGACGGCAACGGGCCTGTCAACTCTGTGTAACAAATCAGGCTTGCTTGTTTTGCTTTTGCCCATGTTTGCTGTCCCCAGGCCACCTGGTTGCTGGCTTGTTGCAGCAGTTTTGCCAAAGTCGCAGCCAGTCGATCCGCCGCCAGGGCCATACATTGAAGTTGCAACCGAGCGCGGCGGGACGTGGTAGAGGCCCTCCTTCAAGGAGTGCGCTTACCAGAAATTAGAAGATTGGATATTGTATCCGGCTCGCACCGGATATGCGAGCCAGTAAATGCGGTTGGACAAAGGTGCTCGGAACTGCTTTTAATGGCCTGGCCACGGGCAACATACTTGGACGTGCATGCCTTAATACAGCAGAAGGTGCTGCTCGCACAATTCAGCAGTAACAGCAAACATAGTTTTCATCCGACATGAAGTGACATTCGCAGATGTTGCCCAGTTCAGTTTAATCAATCTAGCATTACTTCGGTCTTCAAGTGAATAAGAGCTGTCGAAGCATCATTAGATCCAGACGAGCCGATGCTGGGGGATCTCGTGCTCGGCTGGCTGCTTGATAAGACAGATGGAGAGAGAAGCCAAACCAGCCATGATTTCATCAGCTTGTTTGCTTAAACAACTCGAAAGCAAAACGTGATTGGTGTGATGTTGTTTCCAAGGGAGAGGTGCCATGAGCAACTCCATCAACGCAGGGAGAAAGGCGGTCCCTTGTCACTCTTTTCCGGGCACTCGCAAACCGAGGCCTCTCGGAGAGCGCCAGCACTTTATCGTCAAGCTGTGGAACATGTTGCAGCTCATTTGGCTTCGAGTAGCTCGCAACTATTCGGACAACAAAGAGAGAGTGTTGCAGCTTCGAGCACGCCGTTTCAATACAACTCTTGTGCCTCAACGGAGCGTAAGAAAGGAGGCCCCAAGGCACGAGCAGCTGGGCAGCACTGGGAAGCCCCAGATGCCCCCCCCCCCCCAGAACCCACGTGGACATCACATACCCGTGTCCTGTTTGGGGCTCAACAGATGGAGGGAACTCTGGCTCTGAAGTCTCCGAACGCCGGGGGCCCTGGAGCAGCCCGGAAAAAAAGTTGCATGGAGGCCACCAAGGCCCAAGGCAGCTCTGATCAGAAGCGCCGTGCACTTCTCGCCAGATCTTTCGGCGGCTACCTTTGCTCTGCACCGCGATGTTCTTCCTAGGCAGGGAGGGAAGCTGGGCGCAATGCTGCAGCATCAGCAGCAGTCAAGCATCGCGATGGTGCCCCACCAACCACTGCCTTTACAATACTGTCTGATGCAGTGCGACAGCTGATCCCATGAAGCAAGCGGGGGTCGGTCGGTCTTTTGCCTGGCGGGTCTAGCACATCGCACATAAAGCTTGCCAATTCATTCCCAACTCCAGGTCCAATTTCAGATTTTAGATACCTGGTATTGCTACCGTGGGCACTTGCATCACAAGCCGATCGTTCTCCGATCTATGAAGGCTTCGTGGTTCTTTGCCTATCTTGTATGCCTTTGAGGTTGCGCAGTGCATGGCATGTCTCAGCTGTCTCCAGGTGCAGGCCTGGAGTACGTGATGTGCAAGACCGGCTTCTACAACGCGCGCCCAGAGTTCGAAGTGTCACGAATCCAAAGACGCCTCACTGCACCTTCACAGAGTTACCTATTCTGATCCCTTCTCAGAATGAAACAGCCTTGGCCTGTCTATTTTATTCAGACACGTTTTCGAGGTCCGAGACGGAGTACCGGAAGGAGGGCAGTCTTGTGCTGGCATGTCTCGAGTGCAGGTGACTTCAGTGAAGGAAGGCCAGCGCGAAGCAGGGGCGAAGGCTCCGACTGAGGGCCTCGAGTCTTAGGCAGAGTTGGGCACAAGGCAGTTACCTCGGAAGCCAGTTGCCCTTGCAGAGATGCAGAGCAAAGCCATGGCCAAACGCAATGCTAGGCAAAGGTCTGAACAGCAAAGCTTTCTGGCCTCGGGGTGCAAAGGGGCTTCGATGTATCACATAACGAAATTGGATTCTCCAGCAACACCAGGGCTGTCAAGAAGGAGACGCAGAGCAGCCACTGCCCTGTTTTGACCGGCGAGGCAGAGGACGACGAGTTCTGGATGCGAGTAAAGGCTCGACGTGAGGCGCGCCTTTCGAAGCGGGCATGGGATAAGATGGGGCCAAGAGCCAGGGCCTCCCAAGGCTCGTACCAGAAGGTTGCGCCCAGGGGGCAAGTGTTCCTCCTGCGCCATATCGCTCTTTGTAGATGTCACGCGGGCAAAGCGGCCGACTCAAAAGGGATGCGTGGGAGGGAGATGGCATGGCCTGGGCATTTGTCGGAGTGAGGGCAAGGATTGGGACCAGCGGGCCCTTATTGGCTTGTACCAGATGGCTGGTAATGTGTCTAGTGGGGTATGTATGGCTGCATGCAGTTTGAGCAGATTGATGGGATTTGAGGGGTCAAGCCCAGAGACCCTTGCATTTTCAATCAAGGATGGAGTCATGGCAATGACCACAATGTTCGCAAACCTTTGAAGCCGTCTCCAGGCACGTGCTCGTATGGTGACCATCCGTGAGGAGTGATGGTCTAGGCTCGGCCGAAGCTGCATGGATCCAATCGATCCTCTCTTCAAAAGCGAGTTTTCTATCTGAGGATATTTGATGTGTCCCCTGTTTGTTTGTGAGGGAACTAGTCATGACTGGAAAGCTTGTTGAGCAAGTGGAATGTGTTCGTCAAAATGTGCTCGCTTCTTGCAGCGCTACAGCTAGGCCATCAGAGCTCAGTTTCCAGTGTGGGCGACGCACAGACTGGGAGAAAGTGTACACAGAATCGCGCAGTAGTTCTGCACGAATCCGCAACTCCGCTCTTGGCGCTGGAAACAGCAGGGCCGCTGGCAGCTGGGCCCTGACTTCGCTCAAAAAGCCACGGGAATTGGGGTAGATGGGGATATCTTTGAGAAGCTTGCACCACACGCACTCCACGTGGTTTTTACAAGTCGCCTGGGACTTGTGAAGGCTTTTTCGTCTTCCCTTTGGGTTTTGGAGTGAGAGGCAGTTTTGGAATTGTGGCAAGGCCACTTGAGCAGCAGCATCTCACAAAAGCAGCTATCGTCTAGCAGCATTAGTTGGAGCGATTCAAGGGCTTTGGTGGGTGTTGCCGTCTTTCTTGTTAGGTTTGGCAGTAGACGTCTCGAAATATCGATACAGCAAGCAACCACCCAACCATCAAGACAGCCGGAGGATACCAACGCCTGCGCCGGCTGCTGTACCGCTGCGGCTCAAGGCATCAGCCCGCTTGCGGCGGTGCCCGTTTCTTGGAGGCGCGCGGGTTTGCGTCTCTGTAACTCAAGAGCAGTTCACTCAAAAGGAGAGTTTTCTCTTGCTCCCCTTTTGGACGGACAGCAGGCCCTTGGAGGCATACAGTATAAGAACGAGGGGGTATGGGGGGTGGCGTGTCTGGAGGGGTCGGCTGGGGTCGGGTGGGGTCGAGTGGGGGTCGGGTGCAGTAGCAGTTGCAGTGGAATCATGCCTATCCACAGTGCCATGTTTTTTGCACTGTTGGTTCAGCCGTGCCGACGGTTTGTTGCAGAAGAGAGCTGCTTGGGACAACATGGGGATCCACAACAGGCGTTCTTCTGGGGCTTGCGGACCTTCATGATTTTGGGTTGGGGCTTTGACGTCATGCTCCAATCTCAAGCTTTCCAGCTGTTGATTGGCATGTTTGTGGCTTCGGCCGTCTGAGTTGGCATGCACGCATGATAGCTTCTCAGGCCAGGAGGCAAGAGAACAGGGACTCTGTGCAAGTCCAGGCAAAGTGGGGATGTCTTGATTTCAGTAATGCCCTTCGCAAAGCCAGCGGTCTCCTGTCATGCTCATTTCTAATCATAGGAGAATATCCAGCAATTCGCGACTCTATCAGACTTAGTAAGGCTGACCAACGGAGACGAGTGTTGGTTGTATTATCTCTTGTCCTGATTGCCGAGTTTGTATGCGGACTGCCTTGCTGGTCGTGGCTCTTGTGGCGCTCGCCGCTTGGCGCTCAAGTTCTGGGGGGTATGGCTTCCTGGGAAATCCAGCGACACCCGCCTTCGTGCTAAAATGCCCCAATCAGACGTTCCCTCGTGGCTGATGAAAGAAATCTCGTGCTGGAATCCTTGCAAATGGGTCAGTTCCTTTTTGGGTTCCCTGTAAATGCCATGCAAAAGAAGATTCCAATTCTCCAGGCATCTGGCAGTTGGTTTCTAGATGGGGAGGAGCTGTAGCAGGGCTAGTCGAGCGCCTCCAGAGGGTGGCAAGATTGATTCAACACCTTTTTTGCGCACTGTGTTGCGTGTGGCATTGATGTGCCAAGTCCGTCTTAGCATTACACGATCACTCCGAGACAGCACCCTTTGGATCGGGCGAAGCACCAGGCACCGACTGGGCGACTTTTGCTTGTTTGTTTGGCGTGCCAATCAATCAAAGCCTACGAGCATGTTGTAGCAATCTCACAGACTTGTAAGTGGGAGCCAACGCGATCGAGTGGCGCGGCCACTGCTTTGTTCCAACAAGTTGTCAAGACGCGACTCCAGCGCAGTGGGTTGCAGGGCTCAGGATGGTGATTCTCTATGTTTCCTTTCACAAGGACCGCACGGACATCATGATCTGTGTCCGAGCAAAGCTGTAAATCTAACCATTTTCGATCTCATCTCCGTCCAAGCTGCCTTGAGGCGGCCAAGATGCTGGCGCCCGCCTTTGTGGTGCCCACGCCGTCCGCCTCTGCTCCCGTGCTCCATGCGGCCACTGCCACCCGCAAAATCCCGGAGGCGGGATGGCGTTTGGGATGCGGAGTGGGCGACAGAACGGCTTCCAGGGCTCAAACAGTGCAGGAGTGCATGGTGAGCTGATGATCATTCAGCTATTCTGTTTTGCATTGGCTGCAGTGCCGAGATTGTTGAGGTTGTTTGAAAGAGGAGCCTTCACGGCTTGAGTTGTTCGGCTCGTGGCCTCACAGGCACCCCAGGAAGTCAGCTGGAGTTGTGTTGCATGGAGAGCCCGCATTGCTTTGTAGCAACACTGCATGATTTCCCATTTTTTTCGTCCGTACACCACAATCTCCAAATCCCACATCACAAGCTGCTTTTGCAAAAGAGGTGATTAATGACGATGTACATGCTTTTGTCCTTACTGCCGATCATCGGGAGAACTTTATCATTTGATTGGTAAGTCAACACAGGCTCTTTCCTTCCATCGCCATCCATTGCACCGAAGGCCCAGGCAAGCTCAAGCGGAGGCATGGCGACAGAGGGATGGGATACGCGATCACGCATATGGAGGTTTTGTTGGATCTAATGCTGCATGCAAAGTTGGTGGGGCTTAGATGTTCCAGCAGTGCTTCGACTACTCCTTGATGCTGTGCCATATGATGAGTGTTTCAAATCTTGAACGGCAGCAGGATGGATGAGGGCTTACTTGGCTTGGGATCTAAGTCATTTGATTCAGCATGCCAGGTGGGGAGCGGTTTGCGCAAAGCGAGGGGAGCCCATCGATGCTGAAAGCTTTTCGATCAGTTTCAGAGTGCGAAGCTCCTGGGGAGGCAACAGGGAGTTGGCAGTTGGTTCTTTGATCCGCTATTTGAGACGCGACTGTTGTATAGAGGCAAGATCTCCGAACAGTTGTAGTGTGACCGTCAAGGCACGGCATTTTCCTGAGCTTCGTTGGGCATCTCGCATGTGACAGACTCTGTCTTGAGCAACATTAAACGACCTATGGGTCTGTTCTTGACTAAAAGGAAGAACTTGTTCTATGCAAGATTCTGGATCACACGTGCCTTTGGGTTTTACACCGCCGTGATTTGGCGGCTTTGAGACCGGCTACTTTGTTGAAAGCTCCCATTGTCCATTTGCATTTTCACGTCCAGGGTGGACTGCGCTGGCTGCCGCAGGCCCAGCGGAGAGATGTGTTTGGGCCAATGGGTGAAGGGCAGGGTGTGCCGTCTTCTAGGGGGTGTTCTCGTTGGTTTTACATTTAAGACCACAACAAGTGGTACCCTCAACACACCCAACAGTGGCCATTTCTCGCAGGATTGCTCGGGTGGCTTCCGTTGAGAATCGATTGGCTCAAGGTAAGATGGATTGGTGCTCATGATTGATGTCTGCCTGTTGAACGGCCGTGCTGTGTCCTTGCCCATTTCGGAGGACACTCGTGTCTCGGAAGTGAAGGTGGCTGCACAGCAGCAGTTCGGCCTGCCCTTCCTGCGCTTGACCAAGGGGGGGCGGTGCCTGGCGCCCAGCTCCTCGCTGCGGAATGACGAGGTGCGGCCTGGGGACACCTTGCAAGCGGTGGCTGAGGCGGCTCGGCTGGCGGCGACCCAGTCGGCCTTCGCCGTCTTCACGGGAGGAGGCGTGGCCACTTGGGGCGATCCCGACGAGGGCGGCGACAGCGACTTCGTCCAGGGCGAGCTGCAGGGCGTGCGTTTGATCCGCGGCGCCGGCGGCGCCTTTGCCGCCGTCTGCGATGGAAAAGAACTTGGTGCGGTGGTGGCTTGGGGGGACTGGGATGCCGGCGGCGACTGCTTCTGGGTGCGCGAGCAGCTCACAGACGTCCAAGACATCTCGGCGTCCAAGAGCGCATTTGCAGCGCTCCGGGCTGATGGGACAGTTGTCACCTGGGGCGACCCTGATGCCGGTGGTGACAGCAGTGGTGTACAAAGCCAGCTGAGAGACGTGCAGCAGGTTTGCGCCTCCAGCCGCGCTTTTGCCGCGTTGATCGAAGGCTGGAGATGGAGGCAAAATGCATTAAATGCAGTGCGTGTTCCGGGATGATTGAATGTAAACAACAATCCATGCATCATACCCATATGTTCCTTTGCCTCTGCAGATGGCTCTGTGGTCACTTGGGGCGATCCTTTCTGCGGCGGCATTGGTGTTGATGTCCGGGATGTGCGGCACTTGGCGGCATCCTCTGCAGCCTTTGCTGCTGTTCTTGGCGACGGTTCTGTGACCACCTGGGGTGACCCATTCAGCGGTGGCGCTGGTGTTGATGTCCAGGAAGCGCGACAGGTTTGCGAGGCTGGGACAAATCCCAGCCTGTAACCTTAGCTTCAACCAACGATCCACCCGTCAATTCTGCCCCAGCGCCACACGGACTGAAATTCACTTTGAATCTATCCCAAGGCCACCTTTCCTCAATCCATTGCCCAAACTCAACCTTTAGCCCCACCCAAAGATGCATCGATTGAAATTTTGAAAGTACCTTGCCGAAGAGAAGTTGCAGGGCGGGCCACATGTTGAACTCGCATCTTGCCGGGATTCGCGAGGTGGTGGCCACTGACAGCGCCTTTGCCGCCATTTTGGGCACTGGAGAAGTGCTGACTTGGGGCAGGGGTAGCTGTGGAGGTGACAGCAGCCGAGTGCAACACCAGCTGGTGCAGGTGGGAAGCGGTTCGATGTCTCAGAGTGCTGTTTGAGGAGTTTTCGTACTTTCGATATGGCTGGCTGGTGAGAAGGGTTTGAAGGAAAGCAAGCAAGCAAGAAATAAAGAAAGAAACAAAGAAAGAAAGAACGAAATACAATTAAATAAACATATCAAGAAAGAAAAACAGAAAGCAAGAAAGAAAGCAAGAAAGAAAGAAAGAAAGGCAAAAATAAAAGAAAAATAAAGAAAGATCGAACAACAAACATACACAAACTCATAAAACAATACACAACAACAAATAAGTAAACAAAGAAAGACATAAATAAAGACATACATAAATATATAAATAAAGACAGAAAGACATAAAGACAGAAATACAGAAAGCAAGAAAGAAAGCAAGAAAGCAATAAACAAGTTTTTTTTTGTTATAAATAACGAACTAAAAGAAAGACAGAAAAAGAAACAAAGAAGGAACGAAATAATAGAAATACATAAATAAAGATACAGAAAGAAATAACGACATAAATAAAGAAAGAAGGAAACAAAGAAGGAAATAAAGAAATAGAGAAAGAAAGAAAGCAAGAAATAACAAAGCAGCAATGTCAAAATACATAAGCAAGAAAGAAAAGCAACAATGACAAAATACAGAGGTAAAGAAAGACAGACATTGATAAATACAGAAAGACAGAACACAGAGAGAAAGACAAAAACACCGAAATACGTAAAACAAATGTGGGAAGAAAGAGAGACAAACAGAGAAAAAACAAGTAAGGAAAGTACATGAACATAGAATAACATACACGAAAATAGAAGACATAACGAAAATCAGCAAAGAGAGCGACTAAACATAAAGCAAGGTCATGTGGAGGATTGGCAAACCTGTCAATTGGCTTGAGGGAAGGCCTAACTGGTATCATGGTTGATTGCACTGAAAATGTTCGCCCCGAGAATGCAATGCCCTCATCCTTGCAACCTTGCCTCATTCAAGCACCCTCCATTGCATTCGTAGATCTGCGTTTTCTTGGGTAGGCTTGCAGACCATTCCTGCGAAACGTGCAGAGGTCCGTCGGGTGGCAGCCTCCTACGCCGCTTTTGCTGCGGTGAAGGCGGACGGCTCTGTCGTCACCTGGGGGGACCCCAACTGCGGAGGCGACAGCTCTGAGGCCGACCATGGTGAGTTCTCGCCTTGTGTCGTAAGTCTTGCATATTATAATATTTTGTAAACATGTACCGAGTCTGAGATATAGCCTGAGGCAACCTACGTAAGCAGTGGCACCATTCATTTGCGGTGTGCCACAGCAAATGGATCCTTTGGTCCCTGTTGAACGCGCTTTGCTGTTTTTCTTGGAAGTGATGTGGAATGAGCCGAATCTTCAGGATCCAATTGACCAACTCCACTTGGGGTTTCAATTTTCAGACGGTGATTTGGGCAGGTTTCACCTTACGTATCACTTCTTTTTTCCCCGTGGATGTGACTTGAACAGGCGACCTAAGATTCAGATTGCTTTAAGAGACAAATCAATTCCGCCGTACTGGTGTTTGAGCAGGAGTAGGCATACCACATTGCTGATAGAGCCCTGCATCTTATTGTTGCAAGCTGCAACATGTCGTCAGTTGTTCAGCTTTATCGTTGCAGTTCCGTTTATCACATTCCATGAAGGGGGAACACGAAGCCGCAATGTCAATCAATCCCTACCGCCAGTTTGCAGATAGTCAGCTGCGAATTTGGTGAAAGTGATTGCACTCTTTGCGTTGCAATTCCTGTGCATGAATCGTGTGATTGAATGGCAATCGGGGGCATCCATCAGTGTGTCTGAAAAGGTTCAGGGCCCTTTCAAAAGTTTCTGCTATCTTGTGTTTTCAATCCACAAAACATGTCTCTGATCCTGGAAGGTAAAGGTTTGCGTTGTCCATTCAGGTTCCGCACAGGGCAGCGGTACCACGGAGCCAGTTGAGTCCAGTTCTCAGGTGGAGGAGCAGTTGGTGTCGGTGGCAGAGGTGGTGGCCGCAGAGTATGCCTTTGCCGCCCTGCTGGAGAGCGGACGGGTGGTCACCTGGGGCCGAGCGCACCTGGGGGGCGACTGCAGCCAAGTCCAGGCGTTTGGGTCAGTGGGAGGGGGGAGAGGGGGTGGGCGGTGAATGGATTGAGCAAGGCCTTTAAGAGTCGACAAACGCCTGGAGTCATGGAAGGTGAAGCATATGGGATATCCTGTCAGCTTTCAGCAACTTGTTCGTTTTTTTTTGGGGACGGTTGGGGGTTGGGGTGCAAATATTCAGGCATGGCGCAGTTCTAGGCACGGGAGTGGGGCATGTGCCTGTCACCTGGGTTTCGGACACTCCCAGCTTCAACAAACGCGTACTTGCTCGAAGGGCTTCAGTGTGGTATGTTGTTGAGCATATGTAACATGTAGCCAAGTTACCTGGGTTTCAGCACATTTGATGTGAATATCCTTATTGCTAATTAATTGTCACGTTCGCAGCCACGCATGAGCAACACATGCCAAATCCAGCAAACTTCCGTGGTGAAACGCGTGTGCCGTAGCGTTCAGCGTTCTTCATCAGGTTTTCCCCGCCTGGACGGTCACGTATTTGAACACTACAAATTCGGCTTGGTCACCTTAGGCAAAACCATCGGTTCCAAGCCAATCGATCCTCGCGGGGATGGGATTCGGATTTGCGTCAGCAGAGGCCGGCCCCTCAGGGTTTCGGTGGGGTACAGGTGGCGTCCGCCACCTGGGGCCACTGGGAGTCAGCCGGGTCGTAGGCAGGAAGAGTAGACAAGCCGGATTCAGCGCAAACACCACGCCATACACAGTCAGTTAGGCAGCTAGAATACGCCTGGAGAGAAGTTGCCACATGCTCTAGAGTTTGCTGCAGGGCTGAGTGTTCTATTGTTTTCAGTCCGAGCATTGTAACACCTGCGCCGCTCCCGTCCTTGCCGCATTGGCGTCAGTTCCCCGAATGTTGATACAGGAGCAGCTGCAGAACGTCCTGCAGATCGCTGCCACCAGCGGCGCATTTGCAGCGCTGAGAAGTGATGGAGCCCTGGTCACGTGGGGCAGCCGTGACTATGGCGGCGACAGCAGTGCGGTGCAGGGCCTTCTGCAGGATCTCTAATCGGACCTGGGGAAGTGCTTAGCCGCATGTGGCGTGGATTTCGTCTCCGCACGAAGGTCACTGGGAGTCTTGTGAGAGAGACCTGCAACAGGCAAGCATGTTTGACGTATCCACGGGGCCCGAGTCGAGTGAGGGAGCATCGGAGCAAAATCTGCAGGACTGACGGCAAGCTAAGAGTTACCTGCCAATCTCCTGGCGCGTGCCAGCGCCATAGCTGTGCCTCTTGATACCTGCGCCTCAGGGTGCCCATGGTCTTTGCTACGAAGTTCATTCTTTGCCTTTCAGGCCATGAAGGTCGGTCGCTTCATCGTTTGTTTCAATTTGTCCATCTTTTCCAGGGACAAGTTCGGCCTTGGCGTAAATGCGCAGCCGGGTCTGAGGAGTTGCAGGCTTCTGCCAAAGACCCCTTGCTCTCTGCATTCGACCGCGGAGCAAAGGTCAAAAAGCCTACCAGGCCCAACGACGTCGAGAAAGAAACAACAACAAACATAATTGCGAGTACACCATGTGTGTGTGAGAGTTTTTGCTTTTCCTTGTTTCGCTTTGGTATTCTTTGTTTTCCAGGAATCCCAATAGTGCTGAATTTGCTTAAGCAATTTGAGCACCAGTATCTGAGCAGTATATTCAAAAGTGCAAAGCACCTGTTAAAAGCCTTCTACCCAAAAAGCCAAAGCAACTTGAAGACACCAGCAAAATAGCAACAATGATAAGTAGCATGGTTTGGAGGGAAGTGGTACGGCAAGCGTATCTTTTTCCTGAGCATCTTGCTTTTCCTTTCTAATGTTTGGCTCCCTGGCTTTTTGGTTCGAGTGTGCGGGGCAAGTTTTTTCAGAGATGTGCTGCAGGAGCCGAACTCCGCAACACATCTTATTCAAAGAATAAAGATGGAAAGTAAAACACACTTTTCGATGTGCGCCACACATCGCCGCGTTGCTGAACTTCATGAGACACTTCCCTTCCACTTGACAGCGCCTCCAATTGCCAGCCTTTTTTCCCCGCTAAGAGCAGGAAGCAATCAGCTGTCTCCTGCTCCAGTTTTGCTTGTGGGGCAGATTGGAAGAGAACACCGAAGCTTCTCCTTCACATTTGATTTGATTGCCATCCACAGCTCTGCCCTCAAACAAGATCAGTCAAGCATTGATGTTGTGACAATTGCATTGTCATGTACACATGGCCAGTCATCATTCATGCGCAAACGACATGCGCGAAGCCCCCCTTCCCTGGGTTTCACAAAGCCTGGTGGACAATAGTGGTCACTTAGTTCCCGTCTTTCATTCCTTCTGAACATTTGTGCAGTAGTGAGAACCGCTCTTGACATTCGTAAAGTCCTTCAAGCTGGAAGCGTCTTAGTGGGTAGCATTATGATGAGACCTGCCAATGCTGGAATTTGTTTCAACACTTGCAAACGATGCAACTCCTCAAAGAAAGCTAACGCGCGGCGAGGTCATTGGGCTTTCTTGCGTTTCTGGTTGACATCGGCAGCCCTTTAGGAGCTGAGTCTTCAGTAGTTTAGTAGGTCCATGATCGAGCGTGAACTGCCGCATGGAATCACAGGTGCAATGGCAGCCTTGATGGGCGGAAGCAGGCTGCTGGTGTAGGGCTATCGCCTCCTAGCTCGCTGCTTTCAATTCGACTCAATGATGAACCGAGGATTCTTTTGTTCTAGGGGACCTCGGAGTCTAGATTCGCACACAGACCGCACAACTTTTGTGCAGGGGTCGTTGTGAGTCTTTTCGGGTGCAGTTGGAAGGCCTGATAAGACAACATGATGTCTGTGTCAAACCTGGAGACCACTCTGAAGGCTTGGATTCATGTTGATCAACTCCAAAAATGCAGCCCCACCCCATTTTGCTACGTAGGCATAAATGAGCTCAACGCGCGTCATCTTTTAAGGTTGGGGATTCATCACTTGGGGTGCGCCTCAGTATTTCAATTGCTGGGCACGAACCCAACTGAGGCAGGTTTTGTTGCGAGCATTCAAGTGCGCTGCTTGCTTGATTTAGAGTGAGCCAATACAGCAAACGCCGGACTGAATTCTTGTTTATGAACAAAGGATGAATGAGATCCTGCGCCACCCAGCACAACCGACGAGCGCCCATGGCATCCGCAGCGCATTGCTCCCACCCAGCCAAAGCCCGAGCCAAAGTGCTCGTGAAGCTGGAAGTACTTTGACATGAGGTATGTCAGGGAAAAGGTGATGGAGCCTCTCCAGCAGTGACCACCTGAGCCATCAGCGATCTTTGGTTATTTGGACATCTGCAAGAGGAAGCAAACCAAAAGTGCCAGCAAAGCCCAGCCCTGAATGGAACCATTGGTTCAGGCGTTTTGTTACCAGCGCGCTGTCGCATGGAGCCCTTCAGAGCGGTGAACAGAATTGCCGGCTGAGATATGAGATGTACCTTCAGCCAGCAAAAGACCCGGCGTTCTCGCCATGTCCGACGTGCGTGTGCTGGAGCCCGACAGGGCTCGGAGACCTGGTCTATCTCCCCGGGATGGGGGTCTCAGACTTTGGCCAAAGGGTGTCGGATCATCACTTCGGTCATTTGGGGTCTCTTCACGTGAGCCCGGCACTGTGCATTGGTTCGTGCTCCGCTCCCGACAAGCCAGGAGTCTTTGCGACCCCTGGGCTAGACGCGGGTTGCAGTGGTAAGGATGTGCCGATCTGGGCATGCGCACAAACCCAACCCCGCAACTGAGCACACGTTCCACTTTCGCTGGTCACTGTAATGCCATGATGCATCAAGCAAAGGTCAGGAAACCGCGGCAACAAATCCCTCAAATCAAACAGCAGCAACCTTACAAATATCATTGCAAAGCGCCGAGTCTTTCCAGCATTTTGTTTTGACGGGCTCCAGTCCTTTACCTGACTGGCTCACTGCGCCCTGGCAGGGCCCAATTCAACTGAAAGGCTTGCTTGCTCGACATGAGGCGTGACACCTGTCACCCTTCCTACATAACCCGAACGAATGACGAGTCAGGTTGAACTCTCTGCGCTTAAGAAGGCGCGCAGTCTTGAGGCCGTTAACATGAGGGATCCAAGTTCTGCCAATGGAGGGTTCTCGTCTCATGACAATCTGGTCCCACTCTGCATCTCAGGCTTGGTATGGCCTCGAGGAGGAGCTGCGCGGCTCCTTCTTTGCCATGGAGGCTGGGACTGCTTCGGATTGGATGCACGGGTAAGCTGCAATTGACATTGACGCCAGCTTTGAACGGCGCAAACCAGGACTTCACCGCAGTTCACGCACCAATCTGAATAGCAGTGTATGTATTTTTGAACAACTGGTGTGAAAGTTCTTTGTTGGTTACAAAGCCGAACAGTGTGCACCCGACAACACTTACTGACAGGTTGCTCCGAGAATCCGCTGAAGGGGCAACGTGTTTCACTTGAGGCTTACCTTGCATTTCTGTGGGATGTTCCAATGCGCCTTTAGGGTGCGCCCGACGCCAGCCTATACTACATGCCGACATGTGCTTGAGAGGGTGGATAGGCGACCCAGTCCGAGAGAACTTTCACTCGGAACTACAAAGCGCTCAGCCACCACTTGAACATTAACGGAAAGCAACCATTTTGAGGAGGTTCAGGGCAACTTGTCCGCGACTCACTGCATGAAAAGGAGCACTTTCTTAGGATCTTCGCGATCCCCCTGCTGCACATTGGCAGATCGATGCAGTCGCGTTGAAACCCACGATGGTGAAAGCTGATTGTAGGGTTCATACATGTTTGGAACCACTCCGCATTTGATGAAAGAGAGATGTTCAAAGTGCGAGAAGTAGCTACCACACACATTTTCACTAATACTAATAGTCTTGCCGTACCTGTATTCTTCATTAGCCCACTTCCTGTATCTTTCAACCTTTCGATGGACGTAACGCCATGCCAAAGGCAGTTGTCCAACCTCCAGAAGAATGGATGTCTTTTTTCGTGCAGGAAGGCCCTTTGATGAGGTGCAATGAAACCACACTGACATTGGCATGCCGGCCGAAGGCCCGAAGGCAGCAGCGTCAGGCCTACGGCAGGCAGGTCTTGGGAAGTGCAGGAAGTGTTTGAGGCGGAAGGGCACCACAGTTGTGGTTGGCCCAAGCCTCAAACAGGAACCCTCACAGGAGTGTGCGGTGAACACGACCAGTACTCATGGAAAGCGGGATAGGAAACCAGCACAGGATGACTCTTCAAGTGCTTGACAGTCAGTGCAGGGTCAAGGATCTTGCTGATCTTTTGGCCTCAATGCACAATGGTTTCTTGCAGGAACAGTTCCAATATGCTTTGGTGTTTTGGAAAGCCGCGGAAAGCCTTTTTGTTGCTTGTACCCTTGCAATTGGCCAGTCGATTTTCTAGAAGAACGATTCCAAAAGTTCGTTGTTCTGTTGCTGGATGACATGCTCAATCTACGGAGTCATGGACTGTCACTTCCAAGCCCTGACGTTTAGAAACCCATACAGACTCAGCGCAAACTGAGAAGTTTCTGGGCGCCCTCCACGAAGCACTGCCAGGATATCTTTCTGTAGTCCTTCCCCTGCTGAACGCGCGAACCAACTCAACCGCGCGCCATAAGGCGGCGTGCCTTCCCCTTAACGGATCTCCGGCCGTGTGTCATGTTATTGTAAACGCTGCGGGCCGCCCGGCCGCGGCCAATGCGGGGCTTGAGCAAATGATGCTGGGGCTGGGCTGAGCAGTGGGCTGCAGGGAAAGTTATTGCCTGGAACTTGAGGGCTGAGGCTGGGTGAAGGTGAGAGGAACTGGGGCCCGCTTCAGGGCAGGTGTTGAGCACCTGACGCGGGTTAGGGGGCGGGAAGCGATGGGTTTGGGAAGATTTCGGGGATCTGACCGCTTACCATCATGATCCTACTTGGCCAGGCTTGATTGGTCAAAAATATTGCACCCTTTAGTGTAGGAGTACTGAAGCTTCCCACTCCATTTTGTAAACAGTGACTTCCAACAAACACATCACAAGGAGCTCGCACGGCGGCCAGGCAGGTGGCACGGGGCGTGTGGTCCGCCTTCTCAGAGGTGGCCATGTTCCTAGGCCTGGCCCTGCGGGTGGGGTGAGTAAGTGGGAGGCTCCCAGCCATAGTAAGTCTATTTGGGACGCAACTCTTAGGCTCTGAAACCCATGAGGAAGTGGCACTGGACCTTAAAAGCGCGAGATTGAGGCATTCCACACCTTCAGGGCTTCATAAGTGGGAGCTCTTGGGCGGGACACCATTTCCAGGCCAAGTATCCCGAACTTCCGTAGATGACACATCCTGCTTGTTGAACTTGGGGGAGTAAGAAGCTAAGAAATACTTGGGGGAACCAAACGCCAGGTGGAACCACTGCATCACCTTGGATTAGTCATGAATCCTCCAACCAGGGTTCGAATTTTCCTCATGCGAGCCCCCCACACATGGCCAACTCTTTCCCAGGCTTCGCGCTTTATGGCGTGGCACAGTTGCGGTCCCGGCTGCTGGGCCCGCCCCAGGAGGAGGGGGGGGGGGGTAAGGCGTGGTTTCGTCCCAAGCATCTGGCTTACGCGGATGCGGATTCGTTGGTGCTTGGACATGCGGGGAATTGTCATGTTTCAACAGTCCTTTCATACAACGCTGCTTTCACTGATGCAGCTAGAGCCCTGTCCATATCGCCGAGCCATTTGCTTTGGCTTGGCGTATTTGATGTGCCGCCTGTAGTTATGGACGAGTCACTTGGGCTTCTCCGAGATTTAGCGATCTGAGTTGATCTCAAGGTCTTGGGAGCGACCTAACTGTAAAGCCATGATACGCTGTAGGCGATGTGAATGGAGACAACCATGACGTGCTTTGGCTGTGATGTTTCTGATCTGGCGGGAACAGGGTTGGGGAAGCACACTGGTGCTCCTGAACCAGGGCCAGAGCATGAGTCCAAGGGACAGTTAGTGTGATTGCTGGCTTTTCACCATGTTTTGCTTTGCGAAAGGGGGTTTGCTTTGCGGTCTGTGACTGACGCCCCATTATGTTATATGAGTTGGTTTCCTCGAACAAGGTTTCTGGAGTGGAAGCCGTTTAGGCAAACCAAGGTCTGTGCGTTCGCTTGCCAAACTGGGGGGGGGGACTGGTATTCTCTTTTGGTCGCCCTCACTCAAAGAAAGCATTTTTTTGCCTTACGGCTTTTGCAATTCTTTTCCCAGTGTGATGTCTGCTAAGATTTCCTGCCCGCAGAAGCTCAGCTACCTGGCACTGCCGGTGCTTATGACCCTCGGCATTTTTGCCCTCAGCGTCTACAGGCAATTCGGGGGGCAAGTGGGTCAGCGGGGTTTTGCGCTGATGCGATAAGAAAAACAACAGACGTGTATTCGGCAGATCTGCGCTGTGAGCAAAACATATCCCACCAGTACTTGGTCAGACGTGCATTTGACAGGCCTTGACATGTGGACAGGAGCCGGAAGGGCTCTGGAAAAAAAGAGAGTTGAACAAAAACTAGCTGTCAGGTCAGCTACAGTGCAGGACAACCTGCCGTTGATGTGGGGCAAGACGTGGATCGCGCCACTTGGCAAGTGTCAGCGTGAGTATGAAGGCGGGCTGGCGAGCTAAACCTTCCAAGTTTTGTGGTTAAAGAGATGCCAGAGGCTCCGATATGCGGATGACAGCTCATGTCAATCGCTACTTTTTTGCATGTTGGCTTCCAGACGATGAACAGCGAGCGGGCCTCAAAAGAAACAGACCTGCCCTGAGTTTATGGTGTTTTCCTTATCCTTTTCTTTCGGTTTCTGTTTGGCTTGTTTTGGTTCATCTCAAGGCAAGCACCAACGGGCATCGACGACATATGGCGATTTTGGCCATTTCAGCCACAAGCGTTCTATCCCTCTGGCAGATTGTGTCCTGACATCAGGTGGCCTGATCGGAGGGTGTCAAGCACGCCTGTTCTGAATCATCTCCTTTGAGTTGTAGCGTTTGCTGGTTTGAGCTCTCAGCATATGTCTGGAAATCTGCAAAGCGGTTGCCCCCTGAAAGCGGACTCAGCTAAGGCTCTTGGTGGTTTGGGAGCTATGGCTTTACGAGCCACCAGCGCCCTGCAAAGGCATGGGGTTCAAAGAGTGGCCCATGCCCAATATTTCTCCGAACCCTCCTTCAGCTGCCTTTCAGTGCAAGGCAGCCCCAAGGGGCGGTTTCACCTTTTGGCACGCGTCAGCACTTTCAATTTTACTTTGTGCGCTTTGTTCAGGCAAAGCCGAAGCACCTTTTGTGCAGTCTGGGCTGTGTGGGACCCCTCATTCCCAGGATTCCTTCGCAGAGCCATGTGCCTGCGAGGCGGACCAGTGCCGCCGGCCCCACAGACTTGGCTCACGGTGCAGGAGACTTGGCTGACGCCTCGCGGTTTCGGAGAGTCGCGGATCCGAGCCCGTCGTTTGCAACGTGTTTTCTGGGTGTTGGGAGTTCAAAAGAGAGTGGAGATTGACCTCTTGGGGTCAGGGATTTGCTGGATCCCTGAAAAAAGCCTTCCTATCTTGGCGATGGGCCGACAGATGAAAGGAAGCAAATAAGCGAAGCACATATATACTAGTTATACTAGTATGCTGCATGTGTGCATGCATAGACGCACACATCGATTCATAGATTTGATAGAAGGAAAGGAAAAAGCAAGAAAGACAAACAAGAAAGAAAGAAAGAAAGAAAGAAAGAAAGAAAGAAAGAAAGACAGAAAGAAAGAAAGAAGACAGAACGAAAGAAAGAAAGAAAGAATGAAAGAAAGAAAGAAAGAAAGAAAGAAAGAAAAGAAAAGAAAAGGAAAAGAAAGAAATAAAGATAGAACGAAAGAAAGAAAGAAAGAAAGAAAGATAGACATAAATAAAGAAAGAAAGACAGACATAAAGAAAGAAAGAAAGAAAGAAAGACAGATAGAAATAAATAATAAAGAAAGACAGACAGAAAGAAATAAAGATACAAATAAAGAAATACATAATCAAATGAAGCAAGCAATACTGACAGACGGATAGATAGATAGATAGATAGATAGATAGATAGATGCATAGATGGATAGATGGATAGATGCATAGATGCATAGATGGATAGATGGATAGATGGATAGATGGATAGATGGACAGATGGACAGATGGATAGATTGATAGATGGACAGATGGACAGATGGATAGATTGATAGATGGATAGATGGATAGATGGATAGATGGATAGATGGGCAGATGGATAGATGGATAGATTGATAGATGGATAGATTGCTAGATGGATAGATAGATGCATAGGTTGGTACATGGACAAGTAAACAACGTTCATACCTACCTACCTACCCACTTATATGCCTACCTACACGCCTGCATACGTACAGACATAGATAGCACGCACAGATATATGTACATGTACATTTGCATGTACATCCACAGGTACATACACATACACGTACATGCATATACACATACACGTACATGCATATACACATACACATACATACACATGCATACACATACGTATACATGCATATACATACATATACATACATTTACATACTTATACATTCATGTACACACATATACACACATATACATACATGTACATGCGTACACACGTGCTTGAACATATACATATACACATACATATACATAGACATAGGCGTAGACACATACATACGTACCCGCATACACGTACACACACATACGCATACGCATACACATACAACTATACATACACATGGACATACAGATACTATGCATACAGATACAGGCGCACAGACACACACACACACACGTACACACCTAAACACACACACACACACACACATACCATAGCTAGATAGATACATCGATACATAGATACGCGGATACATCGATACATAGATGCGTGGGTACGTAAATACGTAATAACTACGTAGATATGTAGATACGTAGATACATAGACAAAGACACGTAGATACAGACATGCAGACATACAGTTACAGACATACAGTTATACAGACATACAGACATAGAGAGAGAGAGAGAGAGACAGAGAGAGAGAGACAGAGGCAGAGACAGGGACAGAGACAGAGTCAGAGACAGAGTCAGAGTCAGAGACAGAGTCAGAGACAGAGTCAGAGTCAGAGACAGAGTCAGAGAGAGAGAGAGAGAGAGACACAGAGACACAGAGACGCAGAGACAGAGACAGACAGAGACAGACAAAGACAGAGAGAGACCCAGCACATACATACACATCCCTACCTACAGTGCACACATCTACACATTGACATACACACAAGTACCAACATACATATGTTACGCGCCTGCCTGCTAACCTATTTACGTACATACATGTACACATAGATAGATACCTAGCTGCCTAGATACATAAATACATAGATACCCAGAGACATGGATGGGTTGCTGCACAATACATAGATACATAGATGCAAAGACACATATATATATATATATACACGTAGATTTATAGCTACATATACGCACAGATAGCGCCGGCCAAAAGCACACAGACACATGGCTGCATGGATACATAGATACATAGACATATACATGCATGCGGTCCGTGATGCAGGTTGACATACATCATACATACACAGATGCATACGCAGATGCATACGCAGATGCATACATAGTATATATATATATATATAACTAGAGTTATACATAGACGCACAGCTGTAGATGCATGGATGGATGGATACATCGATACGCATTATGCATGTGTGTACGCATGTGTCTATGCATCTATACATCTATCCATCTATGAATTTATCCATCCATGAATGGATGTATTAATGAATCTTCCCTCCCTCCTTGCTGCCACCAGGGTCAGGAAAAAAGGTTCTTGTCCACCAAGGCCTTCTCTCACACACCCCTGTCACTCACCATAGTGTATTTTGACGACTGTGCGTTTGCTGCCACCGTGGTCTGACGTTCGTTCGTACTGCTGGCGCTGTGCGGAGAGGTCCAACATGTTCCACGTTGCAAATCGCATTCAATGCACGGCAAGGTGTAGGAATTAAACGGCGGCATGCTCTGCGGGTATGACAGGTGCCTCATGCATGCCCATGGAAAGATATCCGTTCCATGACCGTGCCGCAGTTTCCTCCCTTTCAACTGCCGCCTCATAGGTGAGGAGAAGTCAACTGACTGTAACTTGGCATTGTGTTGGGTTGCGCTGGAGACCAACATGTTTTTTGAGCATGTCTGGAAGTCCATCTTGTTTGTAGGTCAAACAAAATGGCGCTGTTGGTTTCGTCATTGTACAATGTCGTTGCCCCCCAATCTCATGTGCTCGAGGAGGAGATCGTCCTGTCCGTTTTCCTGACACTGGAGGCAATCACGCTGGTAATTTGGTTCTGGATGCAGAAGATCTACCCTTGGCTGGCACCTGGGCAAATGTGTGGCTGCAGGGGTCTGGATTGGCTTCATGGGATTTCCAGACGTGACTGTCGCACCCTCACTTGATTTCCTTTCTAGTTTCTCGCACATCATCCACAAGGAGCTCGACATTGACTTGATAAACCGGCAAGCCACAACACATGGGAGGGCAAAACATAGCCCCTTGCTCAAGGCTGCCAAAGGGGGTCCCAAAAGGGCTCTTAATTTTGACGCTCCCGGCCACAAACTGGCGCCCCCACAAGTCCAGGCGATGCACTGCCACAACACCCTGGCGCTACGCTTCTTCTGGCGCGTAAGGCCTTCCCGGCGCAGGCACGCGGGGCTGGGCGACACGCTTCATCGACGGCAGGGGCGCAAAGCTCGCTGAATTTCTCAGATTCAGTTCAAAACTCGCTGTTTCAGATGAAATCATGAGCTCTGTAAAGGATGTCTCTACAAATGCGACTAGTATGTTAGAGAAGAACAGGTTCTGCTTTGTTGCAATCCACTATGCAGTCTTCTCCGTATTCATCTCCTTCTTCCCCAACAGCTGAAAGCTTTGGGGTCTCAGCCCAGATAGGCTCCGGGGTGGTCCGGGGCGGCCCTGAGGTAAGGTTCCACGAGGGTTCCACCAGGGTTCCACGAGGGTTCCACGAGGAGTCCACGATTCCACGAGGTTCTGCGAGGGCTGCGGGGTGGTGCGAGCACTAATAGAGCACCGCCTGCTGTTGGGGATATCACCTGAGCTTATTAAACGTCTGTCTTTGCCCTCCCAAAGGACAGGTCAGAATCCTAGGTTGCTTCAGGGGAGACCCAAAGAAGACCTGGCATTTCAGGGGATTGTGGGAAACACCCCCTGGAACAGGCGACCCGCTGTTTTTTGCAGGGTTGATGCCTGGCTGCTCAGGGAGGGCTACAGCTACTTGCCCAACGGATGCTGCTCGGTGCGCCGGAGGCACTTCAAGTACACTGGCGATGAGGTGGGCGGGGGCTTGGGAGCTGGCTGTGCTGTGAGCTGGTGCGAAAGGATGGTCTTGGCAGAAATAGACATACTGTAAGCTTACGGACAAGAGGTGAACAACTGGACCATCATCACTCTTTCCTGAATCCTAAATTATTCTCACGCTCAAGCATTCTGATTTGCGGATGGATGGATGGAGACATTTTATCTTGTCCCACTCAAGAGTTGGAATTCTAAGTTTTGCAGGCCAGCTTTGCAGGTTCCGCTCAGTCACTTCCGAGCGAACTCAAACTCTGAAGGACAAAATCATATTTTTGCTCGCGCTGTCTTTCATTTGAGGCCTCCACTTTAGATCTTGCCTTGATCTTCAATAACAGCCCAAATCCTGTGCACCTGCGGTATTCCTGGGTGTCCTGGGCGTGGTTGTGGCTCAGTTTTGTTCTCAGGGAAGGCCTCGGCGCACATACAAGTCTTCACGACACGTTCAGAAAATGGCTCTGGGATTCGCCACTATTGATTTTGAGCGATGGTCAAACATGGGCAGGGGGGCCTGTCAGTTGGGAGGACAAACCTGAGTTTTCTTCGGCTTCCTTACTACAGAATTGCAGCGGGGCTTGCTTCTCTCGGCCCAAATGAGTCTCTTTTGAGGGTAAGACATACCTACAAGGTTGTTTGGGGGTTTTCTTTTGGTTGCTTCAAGAGCAATCAAGAAGACCCACCCATTTTTGAGGGTTCCCCCACGACAACCCCGCAGACCGCCCTTCACGCATTGTCACAACAGACACCAACACTTGCAGAATGGGAGGACCTACATCGGCAGCCCCATGGCAAGGGTCTGTGGCAGGGGGACGCCTACCACGGCGAGGCCATTTTTTCTTTTCTCTTCTTTTGGCAGCTTTTCACAGAGAGGCCTTTCTCTTGCCTGCTTGTTTCATGGCTTGCTTGACTCGCTTGCATGTTTTGCCTGGTTGCTTGCTTGGTTGCTTGGTTGGCTGGCTGGCTGGCTGCCTGGCTAGTTGCGTGATGATTGGTTGGTTGGTTGGATGCCGCTACTGCACTTGCTGCTTTTGTTATTGTGTATGTCACCCTTGGAAAGTCGCAATTGTGCATTGGAAGTGGGAGCTTCCATGCTCGCTTCAGTGAGGGTCCACGAGCAACGAGCAAGGGGGAGCTCTTTATTTTTACCAGCTGCTTAGATTTATTGTTTTAGGTTGCTGTGAGTCGGCATCTTGCCTGTCCAGTTGCACGGGGTAACGTTGCCATTCTTTTTATGCCAAGCAATAATTGGTTGTCATATTTACTACCAGGGGGGTTTGAGGGCCTGGTTGGTGCTTTGCTTGGGCAGTGGCTTCCTTTATGTGGCGCCAAGCCATTTCCAGGCCACCAATTCAGAGTCTAGAAGCAAATTGAAAGGGAAGGCGGGGTCTCTTTGCAGCAGGTGATGTGAACATGTCTGTCATTGGGATATGTCTTGATTGCTCCTCCAATGCAATACTTGATCGCTCCTCCAATACAACACGGAGTCCGACCATCAGTTGAGGGGCTGATGGCTTGAGAGATGTGCATACAGTGAAACGGAGCCCATTGAGCGATCGAATTTTCCATTTAGGACCGTGTTGAAGCACAGCTGACCATTCCTTTTGAGACTTGTTCTTCCAATATTGGCGAGGGCGACATCATGTTGGAGCGACCAGAATCACAGATGTCTGTAGAATCCCACATTGACATCATCGTTCTCGCCCAAGCAACAGCATTATTTTGTCACTCTTCTTGTTACATTGTTCCTGTGACTGGCATGCTTGGCCGGAAAACAACCGTAGCAATTGTGCTCCGATGTATATTTACCAGTAGTAAGAGTAGCCACTCCTTTGATAATGCAGTTCACAGCCCGTTCTGAATTCTTACCAGCTATGAATTCTGGTCAGATCTACGATGGCTTCTGGCAGCACGGCCGTCCTGCGGTGCCCTTTGTCTCGAGGCCAGTGGTAGGACTGGTGGCGCGTTGGCAGAAGCATCTGGCACTGCTCGGATCAGGCATCTAGGCATTTTTGCATTGATCTAGTTGCTTTCCGACTCAGACTGGGTCTGAAGTGTGGGCCTTTTGCCTGTTGTAAATGTGGCTCCCCTGCTGATCAATTGTTCTCAGAGTTGCGCAGGTGCTTCGGATCGGGTTCCATCTCCTATGGCATCAAGATCCTCGGCTGCACGGCCCCAGCATCACAAGGGTGCCTGTTCTCCTTGGATCACGGAGGCATAATGCAGGAAGGGGGCCGGCCACGGCGTTTTCGAATCCAGACCAAATCACGCCCACTAATGCGGGCACCGCAGGATCGGCTACGGCACCTGCCGCCTTGAGCAGCTGTCGCAGCTGCGCTGGAAGCCCTGCCGCGCTGCTTGGACTTCAGCTCCAAACTCGACATTTCGCTGTGGCTGACCTCGTGCTTTCAATATTTTATGGAGATATGCTCAAGACGATCAGGACTTGAGTTTTGCAGAGAGCACTGAGATCAATGGCGCCTTGCGCCTGGGCTCCGTGGGCATCGAGTGCTCTGCGTCAGGCCATTGGGTGTGGCGTGCTTTCCAGTGGCTTTGGCTCGTGAATCATAGCAGTCCTGCGATTATTTTCAAGTTTCTCTTGCGAGTGCGTGCTGAAGAGGTGGCTTCATGGCGCACCTGCCGCAGCTGGTGGAGCAGCAGCACCAGCGCTTTGCCACTGCGGCAGAGCTGGCCGGGGGGGAGCGTGGGGCGGAGGAAGGGTTGCGGGGTGGGGCGGCGACTCGGGCCGTGCGTGCGCCTGTGCGTCCAAGCGTGCCTGCCTGCCTGCCTGCCTGCCTGCCTGCCTGCCTGCCTGCCTGCCTGCCTGCCTGCGTGTGTGCGTGCCTGCCTGCCTGCGTGCGTGCGTGCGTGCGTGCGTGCGTGTGTGTGTGTGTGTGTGCTGTGTGTGTGTGTGTGTGTGCGTGTGCTGTGTGTGTGTGTGGATTGGAGCGGATTTTTTTCGGCCTGGGCCAGAGTTGTTGTGTGACGGGGGGCAGGGTGAAGATGGCTTGCTTCTCGCTGCTTGGCAGGTTGATGAACTTCGCGGCTCGATTGTGGCTCTCGATGCTGGCAGCGCCTGTGACCAGTTCGTTCGCGAAAGACCGACCAAAGGGAGAGCCAAGTGTTACACGATTCTGTTTGCAAGGGTATGCTACTCACACATGCTGCCAGGCTGGGTTTCGTTTGTGCACGTGTGAGGCACACCATCCACACCTTACTGACGAGCAAGCGCTTGTTGCCATGGGACCGCTGATTCCCGGTCTAGAAACCAATGCGTTGCTTGAAGGTTGATGCAAGTCGGCAGTTTAAGGCGAGCATCTCCCAAAGCAGAAGGGCAACTAAATATGCTCAGTAGTCACTTGGAACTCAGAACACTGACCTGGCATTGGCCAATGGATTCCTCTTGCGAAAACCGTGACTCTGACCGCAGTTGGTGACGTTGTGGGTTGCTCTTGGAGCAGGGCCAACTGAGCAGGGCCAAGGTCAGTTTCATCTTACATGCCCTTAGATATTTGGTATCGGGCAGACGTACACAGAGGCGCACGCCCAAGAGGTGGCGTGGCCTCGGCCAAGCTTCATTGGAGGTGCCAAGATGCCGACCTGTGGCAAGGTAACTGGTTTTGCGTCTTTTGAACATAAATCAGAATCAAATGTGGAGGGAATCGCTGATTTGAGCAAACATTGCTAAGCCCTTGAGGCCCATATCTTTCCAGGTAAGCAAACAGGTCCCTTTTAGTGCTTGGATCCCTTTCTGCAGGCAGACCACCCCCGATAAATACCAGGGCCACCCATCAGGGGTCAACTATTTGGACACGAGGTCGAGACGATGACGCCGTGTCTCTGGGATCCTTCCGGTCCGACATTTCGGGGCCGGTGGCTGCGCTGATCTTTGTGCATGGCTTCAACTGTCCGGTGGAGCCCTGGGCAGAGCAGAACAATGCCGAGGGGGGCGGGGGGTCTGTGTTTTGTGGCTTGGCATCCTTGAAGGGGCTGGCTTTTTCGACACCCAAGGGAGACCGACCAGAATAGGGACTTTGACACATACCCAACCCAGCAGTCCAAGCTACTTGTTCGTGTCTGTACAGGGTCGTACCAGCACATTCGACATGAGCCTTCCCCACAAAGCCCATGCATGATGACGTTTGGTTTGGTATGCACGGTCCCTGCATAGCTTATTTACACCCACTGATGTTGGGGTGTGTCCAAACCTTGGGTTTGTGAGTAGGACCTTGGAATTCATTCACTGAATCTAACCAACAGAATGACTGGACCCCTGGAGGGTCTCAGGATTGGGCCTGCATGCGGCTGGGCCAGCTGCTAACGCTGGGCACCTCGGATAAGTTGCTTCTCTTCTGGCACAAAGAAAAAGGCCGAAGCACCAAACTATTTGCGGGTTCCAAGTTCTAGTTGCTGAACCCAGCTGTGTGGAAGATGCTCTTGCGATGACGCTTTGGGACAAACATGCACGCGCTAAACAGCTCAGCGCTCGAGAGTGTCAGCCTTGCCACTGATACTCCGGGGCCAGTCTTTGCCAAGTAGCCCAGACCTTGGTAGTGGTTTCGCATTGTGTATCCTAGTTTCTATTCAGAATGCGCTGACACAGAATATGTCTACAGTACATATATTTCCTCATTGTGTTGACCAGTTGTTGGCATGTGTGTAAGCAGTACCTAACCATTGCATTGGCGATGGTTCTAAAGAGTTTTTAGGCAGGGCTTTCTCACCGTTATACAAATCAGTTGCGCGCTTACAGGTGATACGAGCATACTTTGAACACTCACTGAGGTTGAAGTTTCAGGCAATGTGATTTTTTCGATTGATTTCAGGCTAGGGTAGGCACTTGATTGTTAAATTGTCAGGGAGTTATGCAAACGCCTTGTGTAAAGCAATGCTTGCACATATCCGTGTTGCTGTCTTCGCTGGATGTTTTACCTAGTTACTTGGTATTCTTCATGTGCCTGAACATGTTCAAACGAAAAGTCGCAAGCATATAGTAAGCAAGTCGAATATTGTTTGTTGCAATCGATATTCAAGTGATTTTTTGGCTAGTTGAGCAAAATGAGAAAGTCACAGACGCAAAGCAAATGCAGTGGGGTGAGGCACAGACATGCCATACACCGCAACACAAGTTGAACACGCGACCAACAGAGAAACCCATTCTGAAGAAGCCAAAGGCTTTGATTCGTCACTGTAACTGGCAGTCAAGAAGTCTAGATGTGCATCATTGCCAAAGCAACAATTTCGTCCAGCATTTCATTTTGCCGGTTTGCGAGTTTTTCCCGAATGCGTAGCGAAGGGTTCCCGTTTATAAGCGGGGGTCTGGGGTGAAAGCCGTGTTCGCAATGTGTTGTTCTAGAGTTCCTAACCTTCTGATTTGCAAAATGTTGTAGCTATTGCGCCTGGGCGTAAATTGTAGCTTTTGCGACATCTCGTGGCGTTCTGCCGTGCAGGCGCAGCGTTTTGGAAGGTTGCCCGCTTGCGTTGCTGGTCTGTGCTCCAGGTCGTTCTGTTAAATTTTGCTTGGCAGGCGCGTGCAAGCTAAGCTTGCGCTTGAGTATCATTTTTGTTGGACCTGTCATACAATCGGCTTGACGTGTCAAAGGTGGATTTCGTGACAGGCGCAATACTTTGGGCATTTCAGCGCAATACATTGGAGCAAGTCTTGGTGGAGGCGTTGGGATGCCTGGCAGGCGCAGTACTTTGGAGGGTTACGCGCAGTCTCACCGATGTTCGTGGCAGGCCCAGTACTTTGGAGAGTAGAGAGACAGGTAGACAACCTGAGAAGAGAGACGGTCACGCAAAACAGATAGAATATTGGTTGATATATAGGGTGGGGGATGCGATTGATTAAGTAGATGTGATTGTGATTGGACAGATGGAGCGCTGGATAGTGAGCTGGCTTCGAAGATAGATCAACAAATCGGCTGAAGGAAGGCAACAAAGAAAAAGAGCAGAGAAGGGAAACATGACAGAAGGAAGGCAAGACGGAAGAAATAGAAAGGAAGCACAAACAGGAAGAAGACGAGGATGGAGGAACGGAAAGAAAGACAGAAAGAACAAATAGCTGAAAGCAGAAGCAGGATCAAAAAAGAAAAACAGAAAGACAAATATGAAGAATGCGAGGACGGAGGAGAGGAAGGCAGGAAAGAAAGAAGAAAGGAAAGAAAGCAAAAAAAGAAAGAGAGAAAGAGAGAAAGAGAGAAAGAGAGAAAGAGAGAAAGAGAGAAAGAGAGAAAGAGAGAAAGAGAGAAAGAGAGAAAGAGAGAAAGAGAGAAAGAGAGAAAGAGAGAAAGAGAGAAAGAGAGAAAGAGAGAAAGAGAGAGAGAGAAGAAAGAGAGAAAGAAAGAAAGAAAGAAAGAAAGAAAGAGAAAGAAAGAAAGAAAGAAAGAAAGAAAGAAAGAAAGAAAGAAAGAAAGAAAGAAAGAAAGAAAGAAAGACAGAAAGAAAAAGAAAGAAAGAAAGACAGAAAGAAAGAACGAAAGAAGAAAGAAAGAAAGAAAGAAAGAAAGAAAGAAAGAAAGAAAGAAAGAAAGAAAGAAAGAAAGAAAGAAAGACAGAAAGACAGAAAGAAAGAAAGAAAGACAGAAAGAAAGAACGAAAGAACGAAAGAAAGAAAGAAAGAAAGAAACAAAGAAAGAAAGAAAGAAAGAAAGAAAGAAAGAAGGAAGCAAGGAAGGAAGAAAGGAAAGAAAGAAAGAAAGAAAGAAAGAAAGAAACAAGTAAAGAAACAAATAATCAAATGAAGCAAGCAATACAGACAGACGGATAGATAGATAGATAGATAGATAGATGCATAGATGGATAGATGGATAGATGGATAGATGGATAGATGGATGGACAGATGGATAGATGGATACATTGATAGATGGATAGATTGATAGATGGATAGATAGATGCATAGATTGGTAGATGGACAAGTAAACAACCTTCGTACATACCTACCTACCCACTTATATGCCTACCTACACGCCTGCATACGTACAGACATAGATAGCACGCACAGATACATGTACATGTACATTTGCATGTACATCTACAGGTACATAGACATGTTCACACAGACATACACATACACGTACATGCATATACACATACACACACATATACATACATATACATGCATATACGTACATCTACATACATTTACATATTTATACATTCATATACACACATATACACACATATACATACATGTACATGCGTATACACGTGCTTGAACATATACCTATACACATACATATACATAGACATAGACGCAGACATATACATACGTACCCGCATACACGTACACATTCACACACACACATGCGCATACACATACACATACATACACACACATGCACATACACATACTATACATACAGATACAGGCGCACAAACACACACACACACGTACACACCTACACACACATACCATAGCTACATAGATACATCGATACATAGATACGCGGATACATCGATACATAGATGCGTGGATACGTAGATACGTAATAACTACGTAGATATGTAGATGCGTAGATACATAGACAAAGACACACGTAGATACAGACATGCAGACATACAGTTACAGACACACAGTTATACAGACATACAGACGTAGACAGATAGGCAGACAATCAGATTGATAGATGGATAGGTGGATTGATATACAGATGCTGAATGCGCAGATGGGTACGTTGATAGACAGATGGGTGGGTAGATTTAAGCATACGGGTAGGTGCATTGATAAATAGGTATATAGATGGTTGTGGATAGGAAAATCCTACGGTAGCTTTGGGCAAGTAATCTTCATTCGGGTTCGTGGGTTCTATGAGGTTCACATTGTATACATTTGAGATCCAGCCGCCAGTCCTTGACTGCTCCTTTTGCATGTGGTTTGATATTTTGGATACGGATCGCTTACCTCGGTTCACCTTAAATTAGCCTGGCAGCCTGTGCTAGGATCCGGCGGTTGCAACTTACCGCTGGGAATGAGCTGGGAAGGCACAGATATCCGAGTTCATCCAGTATTTGAAGGATGCAGGTGGATTCCTGCGAGCGAGGTTTGGCAATTATACTTCAGGGTGGGCACGGTTTGTGATATCATGTAATAATATGCAGTTTTGCAAGCCAGTACCAACATCTGAACAGACGGGCATGCAAACAACTATTTTTCTGTTTGCATTTGAAACTCATGCCAGAGGCGGTGTTTGTGAAATGCCGAGCAACTAGTGTGCTGCCTCAGAAGCTGAAGAAAGTGCTGCAGACTTGGCATCCTTGTTCGTGCCTTGTCAATAGACACCACCTATCCACAGAGGAGTGGACAGGCTTTGGTATCACTTCAGCTGCAAAATGCGGTCAGGCCTATGAGACAGGCCCCTGTTCTGTCGCTGTAGCGAGGCAAGTTCAGCTCCAAGATCCTGCCGTTGGTGTTCTCTTGGCCAACAGGTGCCGGGCTTTCGGCAGGTTGAAATGGCTGGGCTGATGAGTCGATGGATGAAGAAGGTGTTTTCTCAATGATAGGGATCCCCCAAAATGGCTGATTTCTTGTTGGTTTCCTTGGCATACCAATCAAGAGAAACTCAGTGTTGCTTGGTCAGGCTGGCGCTTGACAAACACAAGCTAGCATACAGAGGGCCCTTGCAAAATCGGTTGCTTGCTGGAGCTGAATACGAGAGGAATTGCCATTAAAGGCTTGGAGGGTGCTTTTGTTGCAACAGGCATAGAAGCTTTAAACCCGCACAGACTTCGGCCACTTGGGATCAGAGAACGGCGTGAGGTGTGACTTCATGCAACCTAGCCCCTTCCATCCACCACAAAAAATGAGTCTTCCTTGGCTTCAAAATATGATGCTCATGTGTCAAAGACTTCAAATGTCTACCCATTCTGGGTTTCCAGTCAGCTTATATGTACTTGGCCTGAGTATATAGTCTTTATATTGACAAGTCCAGCTCGCAGCTTTTCAGCGACTTCAAAACCTGTCGCTGGGCCAGGCACGTTGAGCTCCTTCTTCCACGTGCGGCCCCTGCTGCCGGACTTCGCCGCGGACCTGCCGCGGTTCCTCCGACTGCTCAGCGAAGCGGGGCTGCAGGAGCTGAGCCACCGATGCATTGGCAGCGAACGTGTTTCTTTGAGGGTACCTTTTTAAGGGTTGGTTTAAAAGGAGACCAAAAAGCACATCAACACATTTGGGGGGTCTTCTTGCAACGCATGACTGGAGCCCTGAGGCAGGGCCCCAAAACCTGTGGCAACTCTTCGATGTTCCCTTTGAGCAAGAATAGCCACAGACACACGCACACACACACACACACATTCACAGGTCGCGGAACTGTCGCGAGAGGCGCATCTTTTGAAAGCGTACTGCGTGTGGGCTGCAGATGAAAAAGCGGAGTCGGGCTGAGTGAGGAAGGTGCCAGTAGAGCGCAGGTACCACCAAAAACTGGAGTGAGCAGAAGCTGAAACATTTGGAGGCGCGTTCACAGGCTTCAGTTCTCTGTCAACCACTTTTGCTTCACTGATCTGCAGCTTTGGGGTTGGTTCATCGTCACCACACCCTATTCTTACCCTTTGAAAGTGCTTCTCTCTGGGAATGTGCATTGTGCTTTTATTTTGTGGAAAAATCACTGCCTCATGCCACGACCCGTTCCAACCTGCGGCTGTCCACGCTATCCACTGTTTAGAACTTAGCGGAATGGCACCTCTCCGGCACTCGGAAAGCCCGATCATGGAAAAAGAACCTGGTTGTCTGGCAGGGCTAGTTGGCCGCCGGCTGGCAGGATTCTGCTCAATAGTGAACACAGCATGAGGCTTTCGCATGGGGGGGGGTGGTTGGGATGTGAGGAGTTCCACCTCATGGCCCACTCTATGGGCTGCGAACTGGTCATGGCAGCGCTGCCAGAGCTGCACCAGGCGGTGCCGCTGCAGACCATCTCCTTTTGTGCCTCAACAAGTTAAGCTATGTGTCAAAATAGGGAGGCAGCAAGAATGGGTGGGGTTTCCTCATCTGCGAGGAGCACCGTAGGGGATAGGGGGAGAGGGAGGCGTGCCTCCGTTCTTGACCTGACTTAGGCAACCCCTCGTGCCCCTTCAACAGCTTCCAAGAGCAGCTGGTGCAGCTGGCGAGCCTCTGCCAGCGCCTCACGCTCTACTGCGACCGCCAGGGGCCAAGGGGTGAGACACTTCGTTGATCATGGAGGGATTTGCTGCGTGGTGCCTAGCAACATAGGTCTCGGTTGGGGTGAGGGCGTGAGGCTGGCAGAAGGACTCACCAGTGTGGATGATTCCACCATCCATGGAACCCATGGCCGGTAGAGGTCCGGCAACGCACATTGTGCAAAGCAGTACAATGAACGATCGGTTCTCACAAGCCAGATGCTGCCAGCTCAGTACTGCTTTAGATATCTCGTTTCATATCACCTTCTCTGGCATTTTGGCAAGTGTCCTAGTTCTGAGAGCCGCAGTGAAGTTAAGGTTTTCCATCATTCGTAGTGCAATGCCCCCCCCCCTTTGTCACTTTGAATCCAATTAGGCATCTACATAAACCAATATCGACAAATACAGAACCCGATGAATTCCGGCTTCCAACGTCAGATGAAGCCTAGAACACATGCAACCTTGCTAGACTCTAGCGTGCCTTGTCTGCGAAGGCTTTGCCATGCTTTGAAAGGAAGCCCGCTTACCTTGATCGGTAGAGTCAGATTCCCCACGGAGCCGGCCATTTGCGTGTGGAAATGCGGGGAGCAGGGCCAGCAGGGCCAGCTTTTCTTTCAATAAATGCGTACCGCAAGGATTCTGCAACTGCATCCCCAGCCAGCCTCGGGAACCCGTTTTAGCAGACCATTGACTGCGCTTTCATACTAATACAGGGCACTGCTTGTTGAAGGCTGCCTTGAGTTTAATGGACGCATGGTACAGTAGTTACGGTTTTGTAGACGTCACAATTGCCCGCTCTAGCTGCCTCCGCTGCTCTTAGCTTCTAAAGGGGTTCAGATTCGGGTCCCGGCTTCTGGTCCCAGATCTGGGTCCCAGTTCCGGGTCCCGGATCCGAGTGCCGGGTTCATTCCAAGTCGTCGGATCTGGGTGGTCCCGAATCTGGGTCCCGGATCCAGGTCCCGGTGGTTCCAAATCCGGGTCCCGGAGGCCCGGATCTTCATTCCATGCTCCCGGATCCGGGTCCCGGATCCGGGTCTTGGATGGGTCTGTCTGGGTCAGTCCCAGTTCAAGTCCCGATCTGGGCCGCCGGATTGGTCCCAAGTGCATTCCGGCTTCCAGTCCCTTGTCCCGGACCCTCCGGCTCTTGCGGGTCAAGAGCTCGGCTTGCGTCAGAAACATGAAAGGAAATACAGCTATGAATGGCCATCTACGCTCGCTGGCAGAAGCATTGCAGGTTGCCTACTTGCGGTCGCTGCGCCATGATACAGGGTGCGCAGGGAGAACTTGCAAGCCAGAGATCTCCGAACCGCAGCGGTTCTTGCCCGCCTTGCCTCATTGCGCGGCCCATAACGTTAGCAGAGCCACAACAAATTGTCGCTTCGCTTTTGTGCCTGGCGGTGCACATTTCGATGAGAGCACCCCTTGCTGCGGCCAGTGGTTTCCCCCAAGCTGACGGGGCCCGTGCCTGCCTCAGCTGCAACAACCTGCGGCCAGATGTAGTTCGACTGCCTTCGCAGTTCGCTGTATGCCTCGACCAAGGTATTCGCTTTACTCTCTTCCCATCTCCATGGACATAAAAGAACCACAACAAATTGTTGCGGTTCGCTTGTAGCAGTGTACGTGGTCATTGTGTTACGATGTTGGGTTTGCATGTGGTCCGCGTAAAGCAGTTGGGGCGTGCGCAGCCGCTGGGCGGCCTCAGCTCAAGCCCGTGCCTGGGCCAGTTTAAGCCGCTTGCTCTATTTGCAACCGACCACGCTCAGTGGAAGGATGTAGTTGAAAGCAGAGCTCTCTTTCATTGTCGGGTCGCGCGCGTGTGGTGGAAGCGGGCAGCGCTGCAATTGAAGCCGCCCAGGCCAACGCCGAAACCAAACACCTGTGTGAATCAGCCTGACCTCCAAGTTAAAAAAAAGGTGTGCGGGCCAAGCAGCTCAAAAGCTGTCAATAGCTGTCAGGTAAAACCACTGAGCAAAAGGAAGGCTGAAGCGAAAGGAGCCCCGCAGAGCCCGCAAGAAGCACCGGCTGCAAGATGATGAGATGCAGAACCAAAGTCTTGGGTTGAGAAGCAATCTCGAAATGTAGGCTCACGGGCGATGAAACAGTAACATATCCCGGATTGACCCGGCTTCAGCTGGATGTCCCAACCAGCGACGTCATACCAGGGTCATGTGGTGCATGGTGTTGCTTCATGCGTGTGTGTGTGTGTGTGTCCTGCGTGTCTGTGTCTGTGTCTGCGCACGCATGCGTGCATGCGCACACATGCGTGCGTGCGGAGCGCCCGTTTCTATTTTGGCGTGTTAACCTGTTCGGCCGTTGCCTTGCGCGGCTCATGAGGAGGTAGTGCCATCTATTCCCCTTTTCTCTTATGGACCCAAAAACTCGGAACCCTCAACTGTGAAACCTTCAAATCCAAATAGAAAACCGAAAGTGAGCCATAGACCAAGACTCCAAATTCAACTTTGGTTAATCGAGAACTGCGGCACCTGCCGCCCAGCCTCAATCGCAAGCTGGCTGCGCGGCGAAACCAGACCGAGCATGCTAGCGGATCACAGGAGCGCGCCACGTGTGTACCCAGAGTGGATACATCTCCCTCTCTTTGTGTGGCGTCCGAGGTGACGACTTCGCGCTGTGGGCCGCGGAGTTGCTGGGGTTCCAGGCAACTGCAAAACCGGCACCAGGACAACTTCCAGTCCCAACATGAGATCCGACTATACTTATGATGTAGTGTAGGCTTTGGGTTACATGTGAGTTTCAAGAGAGTGGGCTCTCCGAACCTTCGCCAGGGAAATTCAAAGTGGGGCCCCTTTGCGAAACTTTCAGTTGATGTTCCTAGACTTCCTTTTGCTGATTGAGAGTTTAGTTTTTAGGTTCAATTGCTTCATATGCGTGCTTCTCAAAATGGCAGACCCCTTTTGGTGTTTTAACCAAAAGGAACTCTTGCCATGTCTTGGAACTTGGAACTGAATCCTAGACAGATCCACGGCCAGGGGCCGCTACTCGGGCGCCAAACTGAGCCGGTGCCAATAACCTTCGCGGCTCGGACAAATCGGTGAGCTGAGTGATTTGACATGGAGTTGGGAGCTTAGACTGTGTTTTGATGAGTTTGCTCGTTTCCTGGTTTGTTGGTTCTTTCTGTTTCTCCGTCTCTCCGTCTCTCTGTCTCTCTGTCTCTGTCTCTCTGTCTCTCTGTCTCTCTGTCTCTCTTTCTCTCTCTGCCTCTCTGTCTCTCTGTCTGTCTGTCTCTCTGTCTCTCCGTCTCTCCGTCTCTCTGCCTCTCTGTCTCTCTGTCTCTCTGTCTCTCTGTCTCTCTGTCTCTCTTTCTCTTTCTGTCTCTCTGTCTCTCTGTCTCCCTCGCTCTCTGTCTGTCGGTCTGTCTGTCTCTCTGTGGTGCAGCGGATGGGACACTAAATTGTGTCCGAAGACAGATTTGGTCAGCTCTTGCGAGAACACATCCGGATTCTTGAGAGCACTTCGGCATGCAACATAGAAGCTTCTCATTGGCAGCTTCAATCTCATTCCAACCGGAGTTCTTTTGCGCGATCAACGCCATGTAGCTGAAGAATGCAATGTGTCGCTTAAGGATGCTGAGCTGACTCCCAAGATTGATGTGGTGGACTGTACATCCATGGACGCCAACATCAATGGGATACGCCACAGCGACCCGGCTAAGCAATTGTCGGCAAGGCTAGATGCCACGGTAGATGTATGTGGAGGTGTTCCTCCAATTCACCCTGGGACTTAATTTAGTGCAAGCAACAGTAATTCGGTCAAGCCATCGCGGGGGAGGTGCAGCAGTGAATCAGTTAGCGCAAAGCAGCACCTTGCTATCACACAGAGTGCGGGCAATAGCAAAGGTGCAACAGGTGGCAGTGTGCAGAGACTGCCATTCAAAGAGCTTCAAAGCAGACCCGACATCATCACCAATAGCTTCAACTAAAGACCACGCAAGCCACTCTGACGACCATTCACAAACCGGATGAACATGCTGCGTGGACTTGCATCCTGACCCCACCCCTCTTCCAGGAATAAGGCCTCTGGAGTTCTGTTATGGCGTAAAGCTGGGATGTTCGAATGCCACGAGTCCTCCACCAGCAATCGTTTCCACAGACATGATCTCAGTTTCAGAGAAACACCATCATGTGCCTACCTTGTTACAACTGATGCAGCCCTCTTAGACTCTTGCAGCGATGAGGTTACTTCGACCTCAACACCAACCTGGTGGGGGACTTGCTGGAGCACATCCAGAGAGGTCGGCCAGCCTCCCGAAGGAGCCGCCGGGAAGCCAAGGTGAAGGGGCTGGGAAGGCCTGCAAGCTTTCTAATGATTGGTACCCTTTTTCATCTTGCTGGAATCAATTTCGCCCCTGAAAATACTCAGTCAGTCAGGCCGGGGCATATTTTTGAAGCCCACTGCTGACTGGCCAAACCGGGCGATTTTGTGGATCTTACCAATATTTTTGAGGCCTGGTCCGCACTTCTGCGGATTCCCGCAGCAACGTCTTCTCCTTCCTGGCACCTCCAGTCTTCGTGAACTGGTGAGGATGCTGCAAGAGAGAATGGGCACGCCCCGGGCTGTGGCATGTGCCGGGGGGGGGGGAAGAGTGGGTTTCTCAATTTTGAGAAACCCCTATTTCACGAAAAGAAGGAACACTGCTGAGAGTGTAACCATGCAGCCACTGGCACGGCTGGACGGCGACAGTTGTTGGGGAGAATGGCTTGGATGGGCTGGGGTGGCTTTGCCTCTCAATGCAAGCAGAGTATGATTTTTCAACGACAGCATCAGGCATGTCTGCTTCAGTGCATGCGCACAGGCCCATCCGGGCTGGGGTTGCCACCCTTCGCCAAACCCATAGGTTGCGCTCTGCCGGGAACTGCTGGCTCTTCGATCCTTTAGTTGTGCATGGGGGTTGGTCACACACCAGTCGGGCAGCGTGCCGCACAAAAAGAAACCAGCCAACTCCCATTTTTGCGGACCAAGCGCCGTGCAGTGGCAAAAGTATGCTCTCGGATGGAGGCAGCGGAGGGCAACTCGGAAAGTGCTTGTCAGAGGCGGCATTTCAACCTCTCTTTGACAAACGTACAGCCACTCAGCCTAAGGGAAGAGGCTGAATAAGATCCAGAAAAGACTGGGACTAAGCGGAAGGCGTCAGCCTGAGACACGTTAGATGACCTCTCCCCACACTTTGAACTTCGCCAGGCGCAGGGCGCGAGGCCGGGGAGGTTTGGTGTGGGTGTCATTCTGCCATCTTGGGACTTGGTATCACGTGACATTGCCAGCGTTATGTTTCTTGCGCGCTTGCTGTTCCTTGCTTTTTTGATTACACTTTTTCTCTTGCTCTCTCTCTCTCTCTCTTGCTCTGCTGCTTGTTTGCGCTTTTGCTCTCTTGTGCTCTTGCTCTCTTGCTCTCTTGCGCTCTTTCTCTCTTGCTCTCTTGATCTCTTGCTTTCCTGCTTGTTTGCGATTTTGCTTTCTTGTGCTCTTGCTCTCTTGCTCTCTTGCCCTCTTTCTCTCTTGCTCTCTTGATCTCTTGCTTTCCTGCTTGTTTGCGCTTTTGCTCTTTTGCTCTCTTGCTTTCTTGCTCTCTTGCTCTCTTGCGCTCTGGCTCTCTTGCTCTCTTGAGCCCTTGCGCTCTTGCTCTCTTGCTCTCTTCCTCTCTTGCTCTGCTGCTTGTTTGCGCTTTTGCTCTCTTGTGCTCTTGCTCTCTTGCTCTCTTGCGCTCTTTCTCTCTTGCTCTCTTGATCTCTTGCTTTCCTGCTTGTTTGCGCTTTTGCTTTCTTGTGCTCTTGCTCTCTTGCTCTCTTGCCCTCTTTCTCTCTTGCTCTCTTGATCTCTTGCTTTCCTGCTTGTTTGCGCTTTTGCTCTTTTGCTCTCTTGCTTTCTTGCTCTCTTGCTCTCTTGCGCTCTGGCTCTCTTGCTCTCTTGAGCTCTTGCGCTCTTGCTCTCTTGCTCTCTTGCTCTCTTGCTCTGCTGCTTGTTTGCGCTTTTGCTCTCTTGCTTTCTTGCTCTCTTACTCTCTTGCTCTCTCGCTCTTTTGCCCGCTTGCTCTCTTGCTTTCCTTCTTGTTTGCGCTTTTGCTCTCTTGCTCCCTTGCTTTCTTGCTCTCTTGCTCTCTTGCGCTCTTGCTCTCTTGCTCTCTTGCGCTCTTGCTCTCTTGCTCTCTTGCTCTCTTGCGCTCTTGCGCTCTTGCTCTCTTGCTCTCTTGCTCTGCTGCTTGTTTGCTCTTTTGCTCTTTTGCTCTCTTGCTTTCTTGCTCTCTTGCCCTCTTGCGCTCTTGCTCTCTTGCGCTCTTGCTCTCTCGCTCTCTTGCTCTCTTGCTTTCCTGCTTGTTTGCGTTTTGCTCTTTTGCTCTCTTGCTTTCTTGCTCTTTTGCCCTCTTGCGCTCTTGCTCTCTTGCTCTCTTGCCCTCTTGCTCTCTTGCTTTCCTGCTTGTTTGCTCTTTGCGCTCTTGCGCTCTTGGTTTGCTGCTTGTCCGCTCTTAGCGCTCTTGTTTTTTTGCTTTCTTGTTTTTTTGCTCTTTTGCTCTTTTGCACTCTTGCTCTCTTGCTGTCTTTGTCTGTTGCTCTCTTGCTCCGCTGCTTGTTTGCGCTCTTGCGCTTTTGCTCTCTTGCTTTCTTGCTCTGTTGCGCTCTTGCTCTCTTGCTCTCTTGCGTTCTTGCTCTGCTGCTTGTTTGTGCTTTTGAGCTCTTGCCCTGCTGCTTGTTTGCGCTGTTGCGCTCTTGCTTTGCTGCTTGTTTGCGCTGTTGCGCTCTTGCTCTGCTGCTTGTTTGCGCTGTTGCGCTCTTGCTCTGCTGCTTTTTTGCGCTCTTGCGCTCTTGCTTTGCTGCTTGTCCGCTCTTAGCTCTCTTGTTTTTTTGCTTTCTTGCTCTTTTGCTCTTTTGCTCTTTTGCTCTTTTGCTCTTTTGCTCTTTTGCACTCTTGTTCTCTTGCTGTCTTTGTCTGTTGCTCTCTTGCTTTGCTGCTTGTTTGCGCTCTTGCGCTTTTGCTCTCTTGCTTTCTTGCTCTGTTGCGCTCTTGCTCTCTTGCTCTCTTGCGCTCTTGCTCTGCTGCTTGTTTGTGCTTTTGAGCTCTTGCTCTGCTGCTTGTTTACGCTCTTGCGCTCCTGCTCTGCTGCTTGTTTGCGCTATTGCGCTTTTGCTCTGCTGCTTGTTTGCGCTGTTGCGCTCTTGCTCTGCTGCTTTTTTGCGCTGTGCGCTCTTGTTCCGCTGCTTGTTTGCGCTCTTGCGCTCTTGCTCTGCTGCTTGTCCGCTCTTAGCGCTCTTGTTTCTTTGCTTTCTTGCTCTTTGCTCTTTTTCACTCTTGCTCTCTTGCTCTCTTGCTGTCTTTGTCTGTTGCTCTCTTGCTCTGCTGCTTGTTTGCGCTCTTGCGCTCTTGCTCTTGCTTTCTTGCCTTTTTGTCCTTTGTCTCTTGGATCGCTGTTCCATTGGATAGGCTCCTCCGTGCAGCCAGATGCGAATTGTCACTGCAACTTTACTTGCCAGGATGCGTGTCAGGCTCCACCCTTGCAGGTGCTGGGAGCCCCAGGGTGCGCGTGTAAAAGCGAGCCGTCCAGCGCAGACGGGGTGAGCAGAGGGAAAAACATCAGCTTTCAAGCCCCAAAACCAGGGCGCGCTGTTTTGGATGAGCCAGCTTTGCAGCTAGGTGTGAGTCCAGCCCCGGAAACCATTTGCAGCTTTGACTAAATCCACACTATGAGGGTATAAAACGTGCGTTGTTCACGCGACGCTCCGTTTCCAAGAATCATGTTTTCCAGATGTCGCTTCAAACAAAATCCATGTTTCCATTTACCTACGTGCATGCATACATACAAGCAGACCGGACTAAGACAGACGCGCAGACTGACAGACCGACAGCCTGACAGACCGGCCACACCGGCCGACAGACAGAGAGACAGAGAGACAGAGAGACAGAGAGAGAGAGAGACAGAGAGACAGAGAGACAGAGAGACAGAGAGACAGAGGGAGAGACAGAGAGACAGAGAGACAGAGAGACAGAGAGACAGAGAGACAGAGAGACAGGGAGACAGAGAGACGCAGAGAGTGAGAGACGGAGAGACGGAGACATGGAGACACGACGGAGAGATGGAGAGACGGAGAGACGGAGAGACTGCGAGACAGACAGACAGACAGACAGACAGACAGACAGACAGACAGACAGACAGACAGACAGACAGACAGACAGACAGACAGACAGACAGACAGACAGACAGACAGACAGACAGACAGACAGACAGACAGACAGACAGACAGACAGACAGACAGACAGACAGACAGACAGACAGACAGACAGACAGACAGACAGACAGACAGACAGACAGACAGACAGACAGACAGACAGACAGACAGACAGACAGACAGACAGACAGACAGACAGACAGACAGACAGACAGACAGACAGACAGACAGACAGACAGACAGACAGACAGACAGACAGACAGACAGACAGACAGACAGACAGACAGACAGACAGACAGACAGACAGACAGACAGACAGACAGACACAGACAGACCAGACAGACAGACAGACAGACAGACAGACAGACAGACAGACAGACAGACAGACAGACAGACAGACAGACACAGACAGACAGAGACAGACAGACAGACAGACAGACAGACAGACAGACAGACAGACAGACCGAGAGAGACAGAGACAGAGAGACAGAGAGACAGAGAGACAGAGAGAGACAGAGAGACAGAGAGACAGAGAGACAGAGAGACAGAGAGACAGAGAGACCGAGAGAGACAGAGAGACAGAGAGACAGAGAGACAGAGAGACAGAGAGACGGAGAGACGGAGAGACAGAGAGACAGAGAGACAGAGAGACAGAGAGACAGAGAGACAGAGAGACAGAGAGACAGAGAGACAGAGAGACAGGGAGACAGAGAGACAGAGAGACGGAGAGACAGAGAGACAGAGAGACAGAGAGAGAGAGCCCGAGAGAGAGACAGAGAGAGAGAGAGAGAGAGATAGAGAGAGACAGAGAGACAGAGAGACAGAGAGACAGGGAGACAGAGAGACGGAGAGACAGAGAGACGGAGAGACGGAGAGACAGAGAGACAGAGAGACAGAGAGACAGAGAGACAGAGAGACAGAGAGACAGGGAGACAGAGAGACGCAGAGAGTGAGAGACGGAGAGACGGAGACATGGAGAGACGACGGAGAGATGGAGAGACGGAGAGTCGGAGAGACGGAGAGACAGAGAGACAGACAGAGACAGACAGACAGACAGACACAGAGCCAGATAGAGACAGACAGACAGACAGACAGACAGACAGACAGACAGGCAGGCAGGCAGGCAGGCAGGCAGGCAGGCAGGCAGGCAGGCAGGCAGGCAGGCAGGCAGGCAGGCAGGCAGGCAGGCAGGCAGGCAGGCAGGCAGGCAGGCAGGCAGGCAGGCAGGCAGGCAGGCAGGCAGGCAGGCAGGCAGGCAGGCAGGCAGGCAGGCAGGCAGGCAGGCAGGCAGGCAGGCAGGCAGGCAGGCAGGCAGGAGAGACACACAGAGAGACAGGGAGAGACAGGGAGAGACAGGGGGAGACAGGCAGAGACATATACACATGCAGTATAGCATGATGTTGTCCATTTGTGCGGTCGGCTAGAAATTGACAGGAGATCAACGTCACCATATTGGTGTTGGCAAAGCATCCCCAAAGCAGGCAACAAGTCCGAATTCAGAGTCAAACTCTGTCGCTTTGTTTCACTCAAGTGTT